CCGGGTTCACGGGCCGCTGTGCCAGGCCAGCGAGGCCCTGCCTGACTCCCCTTCCACCCCCTCCGCCCCCTCCCTGTGGAGCAGCACCTGGCCCAGCATGGCTGAGGGCCCCAAGCCACCGCCAGGCCGGCCGGCCTGCTCCCTGCCCCCCCCGCCCCCCTGCCCCCCCTGCACCCCTGCGCCCTGCCCCTCCCCTGCCCCCCTGCCCCTCCCCTGCACCCCTGCCCTGCCCCTCCGCGCCCTGCCCTCCGCCTACTCCCTGCCTGGTCCCCGACAGCCCGCATCTGGCTGGATTCTGGCCCCGAAACACTGTGCTGCAGCTAACTAGAAACTTGTATGTAGTACAAGGTGTGATGGCTCACGAGGCCTCGGATGAGGCTGGGGTGGCACGGGGCAGCTGCCCTGGCTCCAGCCCCACTGCCCGCGCCCGCAGCATCTGTCGGTTCCCTCGTCTCCTCCTCTTGGGCCAGTGCCAGGGCTGAGGGGGAGGGGCCGGCCGGCACTGCACCCCTACAAGTGCGGGTCAGTGGCTGCGCTGGCCCCAGGAGGCCGCCCGTGGGCCGTGTCCCGTGCCTGAGAAGACGCTGGAGGGCTCTGGGGAGGACGGGGCCTCAGGCCATCTGTGGAGGTGGCGCCTCGAACCCGGCTCCACCCTGTGCCTGCCGCTGCCCACTCACAGGGCGGTGGGGTGCGCCTGTGAGGGCGTGGCGGCGGGGCGCGCCCCTGAGAGCGTGGAGGGCTTTTGGGGAGCCAAGACCTGGGGCTGGCAGCGGTGTTTGGTTTGAACCCTGTCATCCTGTAGAGATCGCTCTTGTTCCCCGGCCTGACCCTGCAGGGAGTGGAACTCGGCCTGTGCTTCAGCCTCCACGAGGCTCTGCCTGAGAAAGGTGCGGCCAAGTTCCCGCCCCAGGGAGAAAGGCCCGGCGTGGCAGAGCGGTGTCTGCGCCTGTGATCCCCAGACGTGGGAGGCAGAGAGGGGAGGACCGCAGCCGGAGGCCGGCCCAGCCAACGTCAGGGAGACCCTCTCTATGACACCAGGCTGCGTGTGCTGCGCACGTCTGTAGTCCTAGCTAGGGGGAGGCTGGTGGCTTGCGGCCAGCCTGGGGGCAAAAATGCCAGAGCCTCTCTGGAAAATGAACTGGAGCGACCAGGGCTGGAGGTGTGGCTTGGGCGGTGGAGCCCCTGCTTAGCAAGGGCCAGGCTCAGGCCCAAACCCCAGAGGGGCCATGAGTGTGGGCAGGGCTGCGCCCGAGGGTCGGGTGCAGAAGGCTGGGTGACCCGTGACTGTGTGGAGCTGGCACGGGACAGCGGAGATAAACCAGGTGCTCAGGTCAGGCCACAGCCCCACGCAGGCAGCAAAGGCCGGGCCAGGAGAGCCCGGGGAGGCTGGGAGAGGCCGGGCAGCCGGCGCCCAGCCACACCAGCTCTGGGTTTCCTCTGGGAGCCACTGGCTGCTGTGGGAGCAACCCGGCCACGCCCCCGGCCACGCCCCCGGCCTCCCATCCCCAGGCCGGACGCCACCTTGGCTGCTCCCAGGTCTGCATGGAGGGGCCGGGCGGCGGTTCCAGCCCGAGTCTCTCCCCGTAGGATCTCGCAGCGGGTGGAGCTGAGCCGGAGGCAGCTGCAGGCCATCGGGGCGCGCGTCTCCCTGGCCCAGGCCAAGATTGAGAAGATCAAGGGCAGCAAGAAGGCCATCAAGGTAGCCGCCTGCGCCCGCTGCCCAGCCCGCCCTCCCGCTGCCCAGCCCACCCTCCCGCTGCCCAGCCCGCCCTCCCGCCTTGCCCGGAGCTCCCCCCTCTGCCCGCACGCCAGCCCGGGGCGCCCGGGCACCCTGACCGGCCGGCCCCACAGGTGTTCTCCAGTGCCAAGTACCCAGCCCCAGAGCGCCTGCAGGACTATGGCTCCATCTTCACGGGCGCGCAGGACCCGGGCCTGGAGCGGCGTCTGCGCCACAGGATCCAGAGCAAGCACCGGCCCCTGGACGAGCGCGCCGTGCAGGTGTGCGCCCACGAGGGGGTGGGTCAGCGGGGGGGGGGGCAGGCCGCCGAGCTGAAGCCCACAGCACACTGCTCATCCCCCAGGAGAAGCTGAAGTACTTCCCTGTGTGCGTGAGCGCCCGGCCCGAGCCTGAGGACGAGGCGGAGGAGGGGCTTGGGGGTCTGCCCAGCAACATCCGCTCTGTCAGCTCCCTGCTGCTCTTCAACACCACTGAGAACCTGTACGCCCTGGTGGGGGGGGCAGGGGGAAGGGGGCGGGCAGGCCGAGGGGGCGGGCAGGCTGCCCGGCTTCGTGGGCTTCACACCAGTCCAGGAGCTCTAAGCTGACCGGCTTGACTCGGAGCCTGCAGAAAATGCTCGTATGTAGTGGGCTGGGGGAGCTTACTGCCCCGCCCCCCGCAGGTACAAGAAGTATGTCTTCCTGGACCCGCTGGCTGGCGCGGTGACCAAAACCCACGTGATGCTGGGGGCAGAGACAGAGGAGAAGCTGTTTGCAGCCCCCCTGTCCATCAGCAAGAGAGAGCAGCTGGAGCAGCAGGTGGGGAGGGCCAGGGCGCGGCAGGGCAGGGCGGCTGGCACCGGCCAGGGAGGCGCTGCTGAGCCCCACCCACCTGCCATCACCCACCCACCCATCCATCATCCATCCACCCATCTATCCATCATCCATCCACCCATCATCACCCACCCATCCATCCATCGTCCATCATCCATCCACCCACCCACCCGTCACCCACCCACCCATCCATCCATCCGCCCATCATCCATCCACCCATCCATCCACCCATCCACCCGTCATCACCCACCCACCCATCCATCCACCCATCCATCCGTCCATCCATCCGTCCATCATCCATTCACCCATCATCCATCCACCCATCTATCCATCATCCATCCACCCGTCATCACCCACCCACCCATCCGTCCATCATGCACCCATCATCATCCACCCATCCATCCATCATCCATCCACCCATCCATCCATCCATCATGCACCCATCATCACCCACCCATCCATCATGCACCCATCATCCACCCATCCATCCATTGTCCATCATCCATCCACCCATCATCATCCACCCATCCATCCATCCATCATCCATCCACCCATCATCCTCCACCCATCCACCCGTCATCACCCACCCATCCATCCATCCATCGTCCATCATCCATCCACCCATCCATCATGCACCCATCATCACCCACCCATCCATCCATCGCCCATCATCTATCATCCATCCACCCATCCATCATTCACCCATCATCCGTCCACCCATCCATCCATCATCCATCCACCCTTCCATCCATTAACCATCCACCACCCACCCATCATCCATCGTCCACCCATCATCCATCCACCACCCATCGTCCATCCAGCCCGGCTGGCTGGGCCCCTACAGCCCGGCAGTGCCCCCACACCACCCTCTCAGGGCCCACATACAACCCACAGGTCCCGGAGAGCTACTTCTACGTGCCAGACCTGGGCCAGGTGCCAGAGATGGACGTGCCGTCCTACCTGCCGGACCTGCCGGGCGTGGCCGATGACCTGGTCTACAGCGCCGACCTGGGCCCTGGCATCGCGCCCTCCCGCCCCCGGGGCCATGCCCGAGCTGCCCACCTTCCACACCGAGGTGGCCGAGCCCTCCAAGCCCGGTGAGCCGAGGGGCTGGTGGTGGGAGGGGCAGGGCCGGGCGCCGCTGCCTTCTGAGCGCGCACTCATTCCCATCCAGACTCGGAGGACGGGGTGCTGACGGCGCCCCCGCCACCCCCACCCCCACCACCGCCGCCCCCTGCTCCCACCGTGCTGGCCGGAGCTCCCCCACCGCCCCCGTCCCTCCAGACCAGCGCCCCGACTGGCCCGGGGCCCAGGGAGGACGATGCGGGCAGCGGCGTGCCCCCCCCAGGTAAGAGCCCTCGGGGAAGGCGTCCCCCCCAAACGGGAGCCCTCCTGCAGAGCAGGTCCTGCTCCCCGTCCCCCTCCCTTCCTCCGTGCTGGAGGACCAGTGGTGTGGGGGCTGCCTTGCCCCGCCAGCCTGAGCGGGGTGCTCTGCACCCCGGACATGTCAGTGGCCTGGCTCACGTCACCACCCTGCCGGCCACGCGTGCCCGCGACCGCAGCAGCGCCAGGGGTGACCGGGGCGGGACCCCGTGGGGCTCAGCACTCAGGCCGCAGCCCCCTGCCACAGCCCCGTGCCCCCCGCAGCCCCCATCCAGGGCGCCCCCAAGGAAGTGCTGGACCCCTCCAGCGGCCGGGCCACTCTGCTGGAGTCCATCCGCCAGGCCGGGGGCATCGGCAAGGCCAGGCTGCGCAGCGTGAAGGAGCGCCGGCTGGAGAAGAAGAAGCAGAAGGAGCAGGAGCAAGGTGAGCCCACGCCCCGCTCCCCGGTGCCCCACTCCCGGTCCTGAATGGGCAGGGCTCGTATGCCCTCAGGGCCGGGCAGTGCGTGGCCCGCACAGGCCCGCCGCGTCCACGCGCCCTGCGCCCCCGCCTGCCACGCCTTTGCGGGCTGAGGACTTGCGTCCACCGTAAGCGCCATCCTCAGGCCCCGGCGCCCTGCCTTGCAGTGAGAGCCACGGGCCAGGGCGGGGACCTCATGTCCGACCTCTTCAACAAGCTGCTGCTGCGGCGCAAAGGTAGGTGGGCGCGGACCGCCTTCCCCGCCAGGGAGTGTGGGGGGGCTGCCAGCCCAGCGCCCTGACCCCTCGATTGCCCCCCCCAGGAATCTCTGGGAAAGGCCCCGGCGCGGGGGCCAGCGAGGGGCCGGGCGGGGCCTTCGCCCGGATGTCAGACTCCATCCCGCCCCTGCCGCCACCGCAGCAGCCCACGGGGGAGGACGAGGACGACTGGGAGGCGTAGGCCGGGCACCTCGCGAGCAGCCCCCCCCCCCCCAGTAAACCTTCCCACAGGACAGCGGCTCCCACTCTTTATTTAGCGCATGGAGTCTCTAAAGCCAGCCATGCTGCGGGCACCCCGGGCCTGGCCGGTGGCGATTGGGGGGGGGGCGCTGGAAACAGACAAGGGGGAGGTTCACAGCCCGCTGAGCTGGGGGTGGGAGTGTGGGGGGGCTCCTCCCCGCAGCCTGTGGTTCACTGAGAAGCCGGGTCCGCAGCATCTCCCTTCTCAAGCTGCCCGCAGCGGGGGGGGGGGGGGGGGGGGGGGGGGGGGGGGTGCTGCCGTTAAGCGGCACCCAACTTCTCACGATGGAACTGCCGAGAAGGAAAGGCATGAGCGCTGCAGCTCTGGGCACAGTAGGGTTCCCTTGTTGGGGGCCGGTGGCCCCGGGGACGGGGCATGGGGCGAGGGCGGGCAGCTGACCTTGCGCACTGCGGCGAAGGCCGGGCCGAAGGTGGCTTTGACCTCAAGGCGCGCGCGGATCCACGCGGGCAGCTTCGCCAGGACCGGGGGGCGCGCGTAGCGCTGGTCCAGGAGCACGATGCTGGCGAAGTCCCGCTGGTGCCGGATGGCCCTGCCTGCGGCCGGGCCCATGGCGTCAGCGTCCTCCCCAGCAGGCCAGCCAGAGGCCCGGCCCCCGCCCCGCCCGCCGCGGCTCACCGATGGACTGGTTGACGGCTTTCATGCACAGATTCTCCACCAGCGCCTTGCCCGACGCGGCCTGGCCCGGCGCCCGAGGCTGGCAGGACAAACCGCCGGTCAGTGTGGCGCTGGCGGGGGGCGGGGCGCCACCCGGAACCCCGGGCCGACTCACCAGTGTCCGCTCCAGGTAGGCCATCTTCTCCTGCAGCTCCGGAGACTTGATGTTGGGGTAGGGCATGCCCACCATCACCACACACCTGCACAGAGCTCCTTACCTAGGGCACGCCCACCCAGGAGGGGCGCCCACCCAGGGACCAGTGCCCCCCCCACCACACACAGGGGGACCAGGCCCTGAGCAGCCAGCCCCACGCAGCCCCACGGCCGCCACTCACCGGCCCAGGTCATCCGAGAAGTTGATGCCTTCGCTCATCTTCCCTCCCACCACGGAGAGGAGCAGCGCCCCGGTCACTGTGCCGCCTGCCCGGCTGCAGCCCTGGAGAGACCCCCAGAGCTGCCGAGCCCCGGCGGGCACCCCGCGCTCCCACAGCCTGACCGCGCCCGGCCCGCGTGGGGTCTGACACCACCGAGCCCCGCTCACCGCGATGCACTTGGCGTAGGCCGCCAGCACCTGCTCCACCTGACCGGCGCTCCTGGGCTCCTGGAAGACCTGCGGGGAGGAGGAGGGGCGTGGGCCTCCTCGGAGGGAGGGGCCGCGGGGCAGCCGCACGCAGCGTGCAGCCCTGAGCGGCTGTCCGCGCGGGGTCCAGCTGCAGGGCCGCTCGCCTATCTGCTGGCGGCCAGGAGAGGGCGTGTGTGTGTGCACGGGGGCACCCCCCCCCCCAGGACTGCAAGCTCACCTTCTTCCTGATGGCCAGGCGGGCCAGCAGGCCACTCTTTTCCCAGTGTGCGTGGACTTGGCGCTGGTAGTCGTAGGAGGGGAAGAAGCACACCACCCCTCCGGGGACCACACTGCACAGGTTGCACAGGGCACGGCCCGTCTCCTCCATCTGCAAAGGGGACAAGGAGCCCCAGGGTCCTGTGCCCCCCCAACCACACCTCCAGGCCTCTGCCCGCCCCCAGCCACGCCCCCCGGGGTCCCGTGAGCCTCCCCCCCACCAGTGCCCGGGACCCCGGCACCGACAGCCTGGCAGGCTCAGCTCAGCACTTGCCCTCCTCACTAAACTAGATTCCTCTGCCAAATCCTCCCCCCCCCCCCCCCCCCCCCCCCGTGCCGGGGCGGTCAGGGCCCCGCCCTCCAGGCAGGGAGGAGGGAGGGGGGGGGGCGGGGAGGGAACACGCCTCGCGTACCATCTGAGGCAGGGCTCGCTTCTGGAAGGTGAAGTCCAGCGGCTGGCCCGAGGGCCCGTGGCAGATGACCAGGGGCAGGATGTGGTCTGGCGGGATCACGTGACCTGAAGAGACCCAGAAGGGGAGTTCCACAAGGCAGGTCCAGCGCAGGCCTGTGCACCCCTCAGCCGCCCACTGGGACGGTGGCCAGGCGCCAGGCGGGTGCTCTACTGCCCGGGCCAGGTCCCGGCTGAGGAAGGACAGCCATGCTCACCCACGCGTCCCGGCCCACGCGGGTGGTGCAGCCGGTGGACGAGCCGGGCCAGGCCAAGGCTCCGCCCTGCCCCCCCCCAGCCCAGCACCCACGGCCCAGCCTCCGCCTCCGATCCTCACCACAGGAAAACTCCACCACGCGCTCAGCCTCCACCCCGGCACACGCCAGCAGCTGCTCCCGGAAGTCAGACACCTGCCAGCCGCAACGCGGGCACTCGGTGACCGCCGGGCGCTGCAGCACACGAGAACTGCCCCCGACACCCAGCCCGCTCCCCTCACACGCCCAGACCCGCGTTCGAGCGCCTTGTGGACAGGGATCCACAGACGTTACTGGCGGACACAGCGCGAGGGGCATGGGCGTTAGGTCAAGACTTAACACCACAAATTAACACGCGCGTGTAGGTGACCTCACCCCTGCATCCCTCCCTCTCCCCTCATCCCGCACGCATGCACAGGGCAGTAACCTGCCACTGGCCAGGCGTGTCCACCTGCCTGAGCCCCCAAGCCCACCGGACGTGACCCCAACCGGAAGCCCCTTCGGTGGCGCGGCAGTGACACCTAGTGGGCACTGCTGGGCCTGCCTGGGTCCCTCCCTCCACCGGAGACCTGGCTGGGCTGGGCCCCCTACCGGCTGCATGGTGCCACCAGCAATGACCAGGGCCCGGCACTCCCTCACCACCTGCGCGAAGTGCACCGCCGGGTTCAGAAGCAGGAACCTGAGGCTGCTCTGGCTGAGGCTGCCTGCAAGGGCCAGGAGGGGAGGGCGGGTGCCACACCGCTCAAACCAGGCCTACCAAAACCATGCCCCGCCCACATGGCAAGCCACGCCCACCACACCTAACTTCCCAGGAGGGGACCAAGCCACGCCCAGGGCACTCAAGCCCTGCCCACCACACCTAACTTCCCAGGAGGGGGGGGACCCACAGGTGACCCTGCCCAGACCACCCCCCAGAGGCCCGCCTCCCCGTGACCCACCCTGCTGGCTCAGGATGACCCTGCCGTCCTGGTTGGCGGTGGTGAGGGCTGCGAGGAAGCCTTCGATGTGCACCAGCGGCGAGGCCAGCCGCGGGGCCTCGGCCTCCTCTGTGGGGGCTGTGGGGGCTGCAGAGCAGTGTGGGGGTAGACCCGGGAGCTCAGGCCGGGGCCTCTCCCCCTCCCCCCCCCCACTGGACGCACCCTGGGTGGCCGAGGCCTCCTCGTGCAGGTGCTGCAGGAAGCGCTGAAAGCCAGACAACTTGGACTCCTGCTTGGAGGCCGGGAGGATGGCTCCATAGCGCTCCGTGAAGCCGAAGAGCTGGGCGGGAGGGGGTGGAGGACGGGCCCGAGGGCGGCCTGACTGGGAGCCCCAGGCAGCCCACAGGTCCCATGCTGCAGGGGAGGTGGGGAGGAGGGGAGTGAGGGCAGGGAGGAGGGGGGAGGGCTGGCCCTGGAGCGGGTACCTTCCTGCTGATCATGCTCTTCTCCAAGTACCGCTGCACCTGCAAAGCAAAGCAGAGGCCGTGGGTAACCAAGGCCCCGGGGGTCCCTGGTGGGGGGTCCCTGGCACGGGGCTGTGCGAGGGCTTGCTCTTCCTCCCGCCGGCCGCACCTCTCCGGGCGGTGCTGGCGGGCCGGGCCCTGGTGCGCCCGGCCGGGGCCTCACCTTGAACAGGTTGATGTTGTCGGCCTGGCTCCGGCACAGGAAGTCGTTGATGCTCAGCAGCGCCGTTCCTGCAGGCGGAGGAACGCGGGCCTTGCACGGCGCCCCGAAGCCCCAGCTTCCAGCCCGGGAGGCCCCCCTCACCTGTCGTCGAGAGGTACTGTGTGTTGGGGTTCTGCCTAATGTTCCCTAGAAACACGAATTCAGACAGGTTCAGGTGGGGGTCCTCCCCCACCCCTCCACACTCACCCCTGCGGGCCCCTGCGCACAGGATCAGAGCCTGGCAGCCACCTTCCCGGAAGAAGACGCAGGACAATGACCGACAATGTGGAGACACGGCTCTGGGGGGGCCCGGGGCGGGGGGGGGGGGAACTGGGCACCGCCTCCTTTTACCTCCCAGCACCGTCACGAACTTCTCCAGCAGGTACAGAATCTGCTTGATGTACATCAGGTTCTTGGCCTTCAAGCGCTTCCTGGGGGGTGAGGGGGGGACACTGCACTTGCTCAGCCCCCCCCGCCCCTCCCCCAGCAAGCCCAGCCCCTCCTGCTGCCCCGAGAGAAGGCAAGGACAGGCCATGGCAAGAGCCGACCCCCGCTGGGGCAGTGGCACCCCGGCTGCCCTCCCCTGGGGGGGGGGGGGTCCGCGCCTCACCCGTAGCGGTCCATGTACTGGAGCAGCTGCGCATGCGCCTGGCAGAGCTGGGGGCGGGGGAGGAGAGCACGCTGACGGCCACCCGGGTGCCGCCCCGAGGCCGCGGGAGCCTCGCGCCCCCCCCCACCCCGCGCCCACCAGGCCCATCCGCAGGACACTGGCACCGCCTGACCCCCTCTGAATCTGAAACCACAGCAGGGTCGGCCACCAACACGAGACGCTAAACTCAGCGAGGTGCTGCCCATGACACCCGTACGGGAGGCCCGCCACTGGCGGAGGACGCGGGAGGGAGGCCGCGGGCAGGGAGGCCGCGCACGCCAAAGCCCAGGGGCCTGGTGAGGCCGGCTCCCGCCCAGCGCCCCGGGCGCCCAGCCCCACCGGGCCAGGCCATGGGTGACCCCCCCCCTGCCCCTCCCACCGGGCTCTGGAATCCACACTTTCCCCCACCCCAGAGGGGGGGGGAGGGCCGCTACCTGGGAGCCGCGGACCTCGGCCCCGTGCATGCTGGCGATGGCGTCCATCAGGTTGTGAGCCTCGTCGATGATGACCACCTGGCCCTGCAGGCGGACGCCCGCGGCCCGCCGCGTGGCCTCGTGCAGGAGCATCGAGTAGGGCAGCACCACCAGCTGCGGGGAGCGACCGTGGGCCTCGGCCCGCCAGGCCTGCCCCACTTCCGGCCTTGTCCTGGCTGGTGGGTAACGGGCCTCGCCCCCAAAACGCGCCCCCCACCCCCACATTCTGCCCGGGACTCAAGACGCGGAGCTGTGAGGATCGCGGTTCAAAGCCAGCCCAGGCAGGAAAAGCCTGTGAGACTCTTACTGCCAATGAATCGCAAAGCTGAGAGTGGCGCTGTGGCTCAAGGGGCAGAGCGCCAGCCTTGAGCAGAAAAGCCCCCGACAGCGCCCGGCCCTGAACTCAACCCCAGAGCAATAAGAGGAAATAAAAGCACCGCCAACGGCGGGGTGGTGGAACAGAGCAACCCCGCCCGGCTAGAACACGGGGTCAGCAGCGAGGCAAGGGAGGGCTGCAAGTTCGAGGCCCAGGTCCCGAGAGACAAACCGGGGGGGGGGGGGGGGGCCGGAGTGTCTGCCCTCGAGATCCCTGGAGCGGCGGCTGCACAGGGCCGGCCTGGCCTCCACAGCAGGCCGAGGGGAGGAGCAGCAAGCCGGCCCCCAGGCCGCTCCCACGCCGGCGCACAGTGGGGGTCACCTAGAGCCGCGGGGTCTGCTGGGGATCGGAGGCCCCGCTTGGGCAGGTTGAGGGGGGACGCCGTGCCGTGGGCCTGGCCCCAGCCCGCCTCCCGCCGGACCCCTCTCCACCGCCCCCCGGCTCTCACCTGGGCTTGGGGAATGGCCAGGCGGCTCCCGTAGTAGGGGCAGGCCCGGGCCTCCCTGCCCAGCGCCACCAGCTGCTCCACGTCCCTCACGCCCACCAGGATCTCGTCCTGCAGCAGCCGCAGCTGCTCGTGGCCGTAGAACGGGCAGCCGGCCCTCGCCGCCCGGCCCTCCGGCCGCCGCCTCTTGGGCTGGTCGGGCTCCGCTCTGTGGTTCTCTGCAGGGGGGAGGCGGGGGGGGGGGGAGAGGGGGAGGTGTGAGACTTTCCAGGCCCCTTCCTGTGCTCACGGTCACATTCTGGGCTACTGTTTTGTAAGCGCCGGTCTTGGGCCTTGAACTCAGCTCCCTGGACTTTGACCCTTAGCTTTTTTCACTCAAGGCTGGTTAGCGCTCTACGGCTCGAGCCACGGCTCCGTTTCTGGCTTTGTAGTGCTTAGAGAGGAGAGTCTTGTGGATCTTCCTGCCTGGGCCGGCTTCCCAGGAGGATCCTCCGATCTCAGCCTCCTGAGTAGCAGGGGTGACAGGCGGGAGCCACACCAGCCTCCAGACATCCTGGGATTTCATGTTCTCCATAAATGGACTACAAAACCAACTCCAAGCCGCGTGTCACGAGTAGCTGTCATCCTAGCTGCTCAGGAGGCTGAGATCTGAGGACCCGGTTCAAAGCCAGCCTGGGCAGGAAAGTCAAAGTCCGTGAGACTCTGATCTCCCACGAACCACCAGAAAACCAGACATGGCGCTGTGGCTCAAGTGGTAGAGCACCCGCCTTGAGCTGAAGAGCTGAGGGACAGCGCCCAGGCCCCGAGTTCAGGCCCCACGACTGACCAAAAACAAAAGCCCATCTCCAGGCCAGGACACGGGACCCTGCTCCCAAGGGGGGACGGGGCCTGACCCCCACCGCCTCCCCCTGCCCTGCTCCCCGGGGGGGGCGCGCGCCCGCCGGCTGCACACCGTGCTTGCTTCTCTGCATCTCCAGGCAGCGGTCATTGATGAGCTCCACGGACCGCAGGCCGCTCACCTCCGCGTTCACGCACAGGTTCTAGGAGACAGGATGGGGGGGGCGACACGGAGCCCAGCGCTGAAGCTCCTGGCCTCCGCCGGGCGGGAAGGGCGGGAAGGGCCGGGGCAGCAGCGCTCACCTGGCGCGAGCCCAGGGAGACCAGGCGGGTGCCCTTGCCGAAGGGGCTCTTCTGCACCTCGCGCACGAACTGGCTGAGCTGCGAGTGGGTGCGGCTGCAGTAATAGATCTGCCAGGAGGAACACGGGCCGTGGGCAGGGCCTCGGCCTCGGCGCTCCGGAGGGGCCCCTCCCCATGGGCCAGCCCGGGCGCAGAGGTCACAGACGGGAGGAGAGCTGTTTACGGGGTGAAGCCCCCCCCCCACCCTCTTGGGTATCTCCCCACGTGCCCCAAAGGGAGACTGGCCCTCAGCGGAGAGAACAGAAGAGAAAGGAGAAGGGGAGGGGAAAAGGGAAAAAGGAGATGGGGAGAAGGGGGGAATGGGAGGGGGGGAGCGTGGGAAGACGCCCTGCACCTTTGGGGTCTGAGCGGATCCTCTGGGCCCCGCGTGCACACGGCGCCCCCTGCTGTCCAGCACGGCTCACTGCAGCCCCCGCCGGGAGCAGGCCACGCACCGGCCCTCTGCAGGGACCCGAGGCCGGCGGGGTGTGTGCGACCCCACACAGGACCCCCGGGACCCTCACCTTGGTCACGTGTTCCTCCTCCAGGTCATCCTCCTCCTCCTCCACGCTGAGAAACCAGAGGGAACTCAGGGTCCCCATCCCATGCGGGGTGGGGGTGGGGGGTGCCCAGCGGGACAGGCCGGCATGCGTGGACCCCACCGTCCAGGAGGACGGGTGTCCCAGCCCTGCCGCTAGCCTGACAGCAGGGAAACTAAGTCCCCCAGGGAAAGGTGGACGCAGGCGGAGGCTGGGGGGCCTCGGGACGGGGGGGGGGGGGCGGGGTCCGCTCACCTGGTGGCCACCGGCTTGTCCTTGTCCTCATCGCTCTCGTACTCGGCCAGGACCAGCTCCTCCTCCCCGGCCTCCAGCTCCGCCCCGGCCTCCGCTCCCGACCCCGCCAGCATCTCCTGGCTCAGGCGCAGGAGACTCGCCACCTCCTCCTCCTGCCTCTGGGGACGGGAGAAGACAGGGGGGGAGGGAGGGGGGAAGGGGAAGGGGGTCTCAGCTCTTGGGGTGGATTGTGGGGGCACCAAGCACGGGGCCTGCATTCCCCTGACCGCCTGGCTGGAGCTCAGAGCCCCCATGGCTCGGGGTACCCGCCTACTGGGAAAGGGGACCAACCTCCAGGCCCTACCCCACCCCTACAGGGGTCCGGGACAGCACCCTGGTTTTCAGGCCGCACCCCAGCCCCGCAGAGGCCCGCGACAGCACCCCGGTTTTCAGGCAGCACCCCAGCCCCACAGGGGCCTGGACAGCACCCCGGTTTTCAGGCCACACCCCAGCCCCGCAGGGGCCCGGGACGCTCACCAGGCGCTTGGCGGCCGCATACTTGAGCTGCGCATCGTGGCGGACGCGCTGCAGCCGCTCCTCCCGCCGCCGCCGCCGCCCCTGCTCCTCCTGCCACAGGGGGAGACGCTGGAGACACCCCGCCTTCGCGGCGTCTCCGGGGAGCAGGGGCTGTGCCAGCCCCCGCGGTCCCCCCGCTGCTCAGGCCGGCCAGCACGCACCCCCAGGCCCGCACCTGCAGCCGCTCCACCAGCTCCCTTTCTTCTTTCTTCTGCACAAACTGAGTGACCCAGTCGGGCTCCCCGGCGGGCCTTGGGGTGCCGGGGGGCTCCTGGCTGGAAGACGAGGGGCTGGAGGCGGCGGCGGCTCCGCAGCGGAGGAGACGAGCTTCCTCCTGCCGCTGCTCCTCCTCGAAGTCCCGGAGCCACGTGAGGGCGCCACAGATGAGACTCAAGGACTTACCCTGCCGACAGACGCCACCGTCACCCGACCCGCCACCATCACCCGTGCCGAGCCCCGCCCCACGCCACCATCCCACGGAACGGAAGGGAAGGGGCCACAGACAGGAGAGATGGGAAGAAATAACTGCACCCCAAAGAGCAGCTTTGAAATCACACGGCTCACTGCGTGCAAAGGAATTTAAAGTGATTATGGAGAAAGAACTATAAACGTGCGCAGGAATAGGAGGGGGGAAAATGGGGAGGGGGGGGCAAAGGAAGGGGTGACACTGTCCAAAGAAAGAAATGGACTCATTACCTAACTTAGGAAACGGTATTCCCTCTGCACAACACAATAATACAAATGTATTCCTTGTTGTGTTTTTTTCCCCCATCAGTCGTGGGGCTTGAACTCAGGGCCTGGGCGCTGTCCCTCAGCTCTTCAGCTCAAGGCTAGCCCTCTACCACTTGAGCCACAGCGCCACTTCTGGTTTTCTGATGGTTTTGTTGGAGGTAAAGAGTTTCATGGACTTTCCTAACTGGGCTGGCCTTGAACCATGATGTCCGATCTCAGCCTCCTGAATAGCTAGGATGACAGGCGTGAGCCACCAGCGCCCAGCACTATTCTTTTATTTTTAAGGAATTTTTTTGCCAGTCCGGGGTTTGCACTCAGGGCCTTAGCACTGTCCTGAGCTTCTTTCTGCTCAAAGCTGGCGCTCTACCAAGTGAGCCACAGCGCCTCTTCCGGCCTTTTCTGTGTATGCGATGCTGAGGAATCGAACCCAGGGCCTCATGCATGCCAGGCAAGCGCTCTACCACTGAGCCACCTTCCCAGGCCTAAAAATGTATTTTTAAGATTCTACACAGAAAAAAAGTACATCGCGGCCCCACCGCAAGAATGAAAGCCAAACGGGGCGCTCACTGTGCCGGTCGGACTCTCGAATATCCCAATCTTGCCGGCCTTCAAAACCCGGTACAGCTCTGCCATGAACTCCTTCTGGATGGAGTAGGGCGGGAAGGGAAAGGGGAAATGGACGCCCCCGGCTTCCTGGGTGTGGTTGGCCATGGTCCTAGGGGCACAGAGAAATCCACCAGTGCTCCCACAGCCAGGACAAGGCTGCCACTCGGAGGCCGGAGCTCAGCGCCCCCTGCACCCCGCAGTGTCTCCTGGGGTCGGGCAGAGCTTGGCCCGCAGAGACCAACTTCCTGCTGCTCAGGGGCGCCCAGGTGAGGGATGAGCACGAGGAGGAAGAGCCAAACCCCACTGGCTGCTGCACCAGGGGAAGGCAATGAGCAGCGGCCCGGCGCACCTGCCTGGGAACGGCCCACCGCACCCGGCAGCCCGCAGGGAGCAGCTGCGGAAGCACGGCGCTCCCCACCCTCAGCGCCGAGGGCCTTCGAGACCAGCTGCCAGCCTTCTAACGAGGACTGCCCACTGCGCCTCTTACAAGCCGGGCTTCTCAGGATCTGGCGCGCAACATGGCAACAGACAACGAATGGGATTTCTGTTCCACCACGTGCGCGCGTGTGCACAAGCACGTGTGCACACACATGCGCGCGCACACACGCACACAAGCGCGCGCACACACATGCATGCGTACACACACATGCACACACGCGCGCACACATGCACACACACATGCACACACACGCGCGCACACACGCATGCGTACACACACATACACGAGCGCGCCCACACGCATGCGTGCACACACACGCATGCGTGCACACACACGCGCGCGCGCACGCACGCGCGCACACACACACACATAGCACGCGCGCGCGCACGCACATAGCACGCGCGCACACACGCGTGCACATACATACACGCGCGCACGCACGCACACACGCGCGTGCACGCACACACACGCACGCACGCGTGGTAATCTGGGGGAATCTACACCAGCAGCTGCACCTGTGAGCCACCGTTGGACCAGCTGGCTGCCTGGGTGAGCCGCAGGCCCCCGGGCACCGGGGGGTCACCCCGCAGGTCGGGGCCGAGTGGGGCGCGGTCGGCGCCTCATCTCCAGGCGTCCCTCGGATGTGAAGGTGCGGCTCGCGGGGCTTGGAATTTTCACGCCTTGCTTCCCGCTGGAAACTGAGCTAGGCCGGCCCTCCCTCCCCCCGACCCCCGGCCTCCGGTCCCCAGCGCCCAGCCGGGCGCCTCCGCGGGCTCCCCGGGGCCAGGTTCCGCCGTCCGCGCCCCCACACCCCGCCAGGGCGGCCTCGGCACAGCTGAGCCGGATCCGGGCCAATCACCGCCCACCCCGGGATCGGAGGCCCCGCCCACCTCGAGCCGCTCTCCCCTCGCATTGGCTCCCCGCCCATCAATCACCAGCCGGCCCGCCCCCCGCTTCCGGAGCGGTTCCCGCGCGCGGCTCGCCCCGCCCACCTCGCGGACCCGGGTCCGCGTCTCGCACGCACCCCGCAACCTCGCGTGTCCGCGGGAAGCCGGCCCCCTCCTCGGGTCGCTTCTCCTCGCCCTCGGCTCGGCCGCCGCGCAGCACTGCACTCCCCAGGCCCACGCGAGCCCGCGCCGCGGAGGGGAGGAACCGGGGAGACAGCGCGCTGGATTTGAATCGCCGCCGCTCGGCGCACGGAACGTGCGGGAGAGGAGCGTGCTGCGGGGCCACGCCCACTGCTACCGCCACGCCCCCAGCCGGGCCTCCAGGCCACTGCGCCTGCGCGCTTCAGGCTGTGCCAACTCCGCACCATTGCGCATGCTCGGCGGCCCCAGCGCAGGCTAAGACGAATGGGCTGTTTATCAAGAGGCCGGAGCCTGGACCCGCCGTGCGCACCGTCTAACCACCTGCATGACCCCGGGCCTGGCGCCTTCCCGGGCCTGGGGCCGGGAGCATCTCGTGCCAGAAGGAGACCCCGCGTTAGGAGCTGGGTGGAAGTCTGGCGGGGGGAGTCTGGCGCTAACAGGCGTTCCCGTGGTTGAGATTTTTGTCATCTGCTGCCGATTTCCGCCTGACTGATGAAGGGTGGGCTCAGCTACAAAGCCAGGAGGTGCGTGGGGGAGGGCCGCGGGCCCCTGGAGAACGGCTGGCAGTGGAGGGCATGGTTGGTGAGTTGAAACCAGGCTCTGGTTTCAAAAATCCCACCCCGTCCTTCCTAGTCCTCACATCTGACTGTGGGGGGGGGGGAGAGTGGAGACAGACCTGAGAACTAGAGTCAGGCCAGCACGCCCAGGGCGACTCAGCATGTCTTCCTCTGAGTGGTCCGTTGTTCTACGCTTCATTTGCATACGGCCACTATGGTCGGTTGTTCACCTCATTTGCATAGGACTATGGTCGGTAGTTTCACACCTCATTTGCATAGGACTATGGTCGGTAGTTTCACACCTCATTTGCATAGGACTATGGTCGGTAGTTCCACACCTCATTTGCATAGGACTATGGTCGGTAGTTTCACACCCTATTTGCATAGGACTATGGTCTGTTCTACACCTCATTTGCATGAGACCGACTTACGGTCGTTTGTTCTACACTTCATTTGCATAGGACCCACTATAGTCGATTGTTCCACACCTCATTTGCATAGGACTGACTATGGTTGGTTGTTCTACACCTCATTTGCATAGGACCGACTATGGTCTCATTTGCCAAGAGCCAACCAAAGGAGCACAGCTTTAGGGTATTAAAAAAATCCCTCCACCCCGGCGCCAGTGGCTCACGCCTGTCATCCCAGAGATCTGAAGATAGCAGTTCAAAGCCAGCCCGGGCAGGAAAGTCTGTGAGACTCTGATCTCTGATAAACCACCAGAAAACTGGAAGTGGCGCTGTGGCTCAAGTGGTGGAGCGCCAGCCTTGAGCTGAAGAGCTGAGGGACAGCGCCCAGGCCCAGAGTTCAAGCCCCACGACTGACCCAAACAAACAAGCCCCTCTAAGTACCATAAAAGCAAACAAACCCAGAGGTAGGAAACCCATTCTACTAGTGTACAAATCTGCTTTCTTTTTTTTTTTTTTTTTTTGGTCAGTCGTGGGGCTTGAACTCTGGGTCTGGGCGCTGTCTCTCAGCTCTTCAGCTCAAGGCGAGCGCTCTACTTGAGCTACAGCACCACTTCCAGTTTTCTGGTGGTTTATTGGAGATAGGAGTCTCACGGTCTCTCCTGCCTGGGCTGGCTTTGAACTGCGATCCTCAGATCTCGGCCTCCTGAGTAGCTAGGATTACAGGCGTGAGCCACCAGCGCCCAGCTTAAATCTGCTTTCTTGACAGCGCGCTAGAGCTTGCACCCTTACAGCCAGTAATGTAGAAACTTAACACGAGGTGTCTTTTTAGTCCTTTTTGAGCTCTTTTTTTTTCCTTTCTCCTGTGTGTTCATTACTGCTTTGCTGACAGGGTACCTGGCTAGGAAAATCAGACTTCCTGGATGACCTTCAACCCCTGAATTTCTCATAAAACAGAGATTAATGGGACCTAGCTTAAGGAATCTTATAAAAATAAAATGAGCCGGCCTCCTGATACACGGGCCTAACCGGTGGCATGCCACGTCGGGAAGGCCAGTCTTGTTAGCTGACTAATCTTGTGTTTGGCTTTCGCTTCCTTGTTACTGGGATTTCAGGCCAAGGGCGAATAGTGCGCTGCTATTCCCACTCTCTGCTCCAAACTCCCATGCCCTGTATGGTCTCAGAACAGATCGGATATTACACTGAGAACAGATACCACCCTCGATGCTAGCCTGAAGCTGGGAGGCCATAGTACAATGTAAATCTAACAGTGAGAATCAAAAAAAAAAAGAAGAGTAACAATGAATAAAGTTGATCCTGATGATGAATGAGGCAGATTATGAGGATCAGGCCTTTGGCACCTGACATACAAACGGGTTATAGTTACATAAGTCAGGTAAAGAGCACATTTCTTTTGGGACAGTGTCGGAAGAGATCATCAAAGTTTATCATTGGGGCTGGGAAGGTGGCTCAGTGGTAGAGTGCTTGCTTTCCATGCATGAAGCCCTGGGTTGGATTGCTCAGTACTACATGCACAGAAAAAGCCAGACATGGCACTGCGGCTCAAGTGGTAGAGTGCTAGCCTTGAGCAAAAAAAGCTCAGGGACAGTGGTCAGGCCCTGAGTTCAAGCCCCAGTAATGGCACAAGCGAGAGAAAGAGGGGGCGCAGATCACAGGGCGAGCTGTGGGCAGCGCACACCGGGGAATCTGGGTGGAGGGAGGACACAGAAAAGCGCACATAATTACACCTGCAGATTAGGAGGGCTGAGGGAACTTGGCTCAGGGCTGGCTTAGTTTGTTCGGTTTTATCCTCGAACTAAGGCTTGAACTCAGGGGCTGGGCACACTTGCTTGGCTTTTTCGCTCAAAGCTGGTGCTCTACCACTTGAGCCACAGCTCCACTTCCGGCTTTTGGGGGGTTAAGAGGAAGTTGAGAGTCTCTCTGGGATCTGTCTGCCCAGAGTCGGCTTTGAACTTTGACGCTCAGATCTCAGCCTCCCGAGTAGCTCAGGTGATAGGTGTGAGCCGCACCAGGCACCTGGCTCTCGTTTCTTTCACCTATACCTGTGTGTGGGGACAGTCGGTGCCCGCGTGGAGATGGGGCCTGCAGCCAGACCCCGGGAACAAGGGGTCTGGAGTGTGTGTGAGTGTGTGTGAGTGTGTGTGAGTGTGTGTGTGTGTCTGAGTGTGTGTGTACCAAAGTTTCAGATGACTGTCATTTGCTTTTATTTCTTTTTTTGATCTGAGACTGGGACTCGAACATGGTATCTGAGGCTTTCACTCACCAGAGCCACGGCCGCACCCCCTCAGATGATAGGTCAAGCACCCACGCTGCGAGCAAGGGGAGGGACAATTCTGAGGCCTGAGTCCTGCTCCCTCTGTCTAGGACACGGAAGGACAGACGTCAGGAACCGGCCTTGCTCACTCGGGCTGATGGCCAACTCCCAAGGCCTGGAGGGAAGCCAGTGAGCCTTTTGATGAAAGAAAAAAAATGAGATTTATTGGCAAATAAAATCACAATGAGAAAACAAACAAACCGACCGCTGGAGAAAGGCCCCGGCGGAAGGCGCGCGGCGAGGTCCGGGCTGGCGTCTCAGGGCTGATCGGGAGCCGCCGTTCCCTCCGGGCACACGTGGGAAGCCTGGAACTGAACCTTCTGGACGTGCTGGGTCTGGCCGCTGCGCCGCTCGGGCTGCAGCCGCTGCAGCCGCGTGCCCATCACCAGCCAGGCGTTGTGCACCTGCTGCCGGCAGCGCATGTAAAAGGGCCTGGTGATCCCCCGGCACCAGAGCCAGAGCCTTTTCTGGTAGTCGTCCTCCTCTTCCCGCAAGAGCCCCTTAAACAGGTGCTTCTTCCTCTTGGGGGATTTGATGCCGGAGGCCCTGAGGAAGGTGATGCTCATCTGGCTGAGCCGGGAGATCCTGGACGCCTGCGGCTTCAAGCTCATGTCCAGCTTCTGCATGATGTCTCTGGCCATCAGACGCACAGATGCCTGGGAGTCGTTCCTCATGCACTCCAGATCTGAAACCCACATCACCCTGCAGAGTCTGCAAGCCAGCCCGGAGGCTGAGATCTGAGGAGCGCGGTTCAAGGCCAACCCCGGGCAGGAAAGTCCGTGAGACTCTCATCTCCAAGGAACCACCAAAAAAGAGCCAGAAGCTGTGGCTCAAAGTGGCAGAGCACCAGCCTTGAGCGAATAGAGCTCAGGGACAGCGCCCAGGCCCTGAGTTCAAGCCCCATGACCACCACCACCACCAACAACAACAACAAGACAGGACTGGAAGCGTAGCTCAGTGGTCAGAGCACCTGCCTAGCAAGCACAGGTTCATGAGTTCAAAGCCCAGTACTGCAAAATTAAGTGAAGTTTAAAAGAATGAACCGTGTTCTCAGGGAGGTTCCCGATCACCCACTAGGTGGCGCCCACACCCCGGCGCTCCAGGCCCCTGGAGAGCAGGCACTCACTGGTCTGAATCTCCTCCACGTCATCTTCATGGATAGAAGACATCTGTATGTTCTTGATGATTAACTCTAAGGAGAAGACAGACAAAGTCACAGGAGGCAGGGCCTGGTGGTGCGCTCATTATTCCAGTACACCGGAAGCAGAAATGAGAAGGACCATGGTCCAGGGTCAGCCTGTTTGAAAAACCACTGACCGACCAGGGCACCAGGGTTTCAGAGAACTGTTCCCAACAGATGTGAAAAACCTTAAATGCTGCAGAGCCTTTGGTGTGAGAAAATTCCCCTACTAAAAGAACCGGGAGCATCGGAGATTTACCGCTGCGTCCGGCTTAAGAAAAAAAGACAAGCCGGGCGCCGGTGGCTCCTGCCTGTCATCCCAGCTACTCAGGAGGCTGAGATCGGAGGATCGTGGCTCAAAACCAGCCCGGGCAGGAAAGTCCATGAGACTCTGATCTCCAGTAAACCACCAGAAAACCGCAAGTGGAGCTGTGGCTCAAGTGGTGGAGCGCTCGCCTTGAGCACAAAGCGCTCAGGGACAGCCACTCCTGGAGTTCAAGCCCCAGGACCAACAATAAAATAAAATATGGACGTGTTAAGTCATTTTATAAATCCAAGCGTGCAATGGAAGTGATTTGATACAGTCATTAAAAGTAACACTGGAGGGGCTGGGCAGGCGGCTCCGTGGTAGAGCGCTCGCCTAGCATGCATGAGGCCCTGGGTTCGATTCCTCAGTATTATATACACAGAAAAAGTCAGAAGTGGCGCTGTGGCTCCAGTGGTAGAGCGCTAGCCTTGAGCCAAAAGAGCTTAGAAACAGTGCCCAGGCCCTGAGTTCAAGTCCCAGGACTGGCAAACAACAACAACAATAAAAAAGACATTGAATTAATAGAGCACATTGAAAGCACAAAGCTAGGATAGTGAAGCACATTAAAAACTATCAAAAACAAAAAAAACCTCGCAAGAGGGAGGCCCTGGGCTCAAACCTCCGCTGCATGGAGACGGACGCGCAAAGGAAGACAGGGTCCCAACTGCCCGGGGTTTGTTGGCGCGGCATCCTGGGGGTACCGGGGCTTGTCTTCGGGGCTCGCACACGGTCTTCTGCGTGACCGACTCCCGGCCCCAGGCCAGCCCAGACCACCATCCGCCTGTTCACACGGCCTGCCGTAGCTGGGATGGCAGGTGTGAACCAGCACGCCTAACGACTGGTGCAAGTGAGTCGTGCACGCTTCTTTTCCTGCCCCGGCTGGCTTTGAACTGCGATCCTCCCCATCTCAGCCTCCTGAGCAGCTGGCAGTACAGGCGTGAGCACCGGCGCCTGCTGTGTTTGTTCCGAAGTATTTGTGTAGGTAGCATGTTTTTACAATCTTAAAAATGGCGGTGATTCTAGCATTATTTTCTTCTTTTTGCCAATCTGATTTTTGTTGTTGTTGTTGTTTTCTAACACATGCTACTGATACATTGTGAGGCAGCAGGATTTTGGGAAATCCATGAGATTCCAGTAGATGAGTGGTTTTTTTGGTCTTCTTTTTTTGTCAGTGGTGGGGCTTCAACTCAGGGCCTGGGCGCTGTCCCTCAGCTCTTCAGCTCAAGGCGGGTGCTCTACCACTTGAGCCACAGCGCCACTTCCAGCTTTTTCTGCTTCTGTGGTGCTGAGGAATCGAACCCAGGGCCTCCTGCGTGCGAGGCGAGCGCTCTACCACTGAGCCACCTTCCCAACCCCTAGATCAGTGTCTTTCCCTCCAGTCACAACTGCATGGTCTTGTCCCCAACAAAGCAGCACCCGGACAGCATGGTGGAGGCCAGAACTGGGGAGCCCGGCCTCCTCTCCTCCCCAGAGCCTTTTGAAGCCGAATCAGGGGCCTAGCCCAGCTCAACACCTCTGAGCAGGAAGGGGGGGCCTGCTGGGTCACCCCAGTGCAGGTCCGGGGGCCTCTCTGGGCTGTGGCTGGGCCCCAGGAGGGTGGGGAGGTTGGGGGGGGGCCGAGGGGAGCCGGCCAGGGTCTCACCTATGAAGTTGAGCGCGGCCATGCGCAGGAAGACCTGGCTGCTACTCAGAAAGCCGAAGCTCTGCGTCAGCAGCTCCCCCACCAGATGCAGCCGCCCCGAACTGACCTGCGGGGCGGAGACGGCCAGCACTGACCCCACAGAACCACCCGGACCGTCACCCCTTACCCCGTCCACCGGGCCGCCCGGCCTGCCCCCACCCTTCACCTGCACCCCCATCCCAACGTGGCCCAGGCCCCCTCCCCCGCCTTCACCCCCAGCCCACAGGAAACCCACGGGTGGGCAGGGACTGCGGGCAGGCCAGGGGCAAGGCCAGCTGCAAGGAGTAAAGAGAGGGGAGGGACGGAGAGGGGAGGGGAGAGGGGAAAGGAAGGAAGAGGGAGGGAGGGAGGCAGGGAGGAAAAAAGGAAGGAAGGAAGGGGGAGGGAGGGAGGGAGAGGGAGGGAAGTATGGAGGGAAGGAAGGAGGGAGGGAGGGAGAGAGGGAAGGAGGGAGGGAAGGAAGGAGGGAAGGGAAGGAGGAAGGAAGGGAAAGGAAAGAAGGAAAGGAATAGAGGGAGGGAAAGGAGGGAGGAAGAGAGGGAAGGAAGGAAGGAAAGGAAGGAAGGAAGGAAGAGAGGGAGGGAGGGAGGGAGGGAAGGAAGGTAGGAGGGAGGGAGGGAGGGAGGGAAGGAGGGAGGGAAGGTAGGTAGGAGGGAAGGAGGGAAGTAAGGTAGGAGGGAGGGAGGGAAGGAAGGTAGGAGGGAGGGAGGGAAGGAAGGTAGGAGGGAGGGAGGGAAGGAAGGTACTGGCCGGTGCCTTGGGAAGCCCCGCCCAGCTCTCTTCTAGTCAATGCCACTGCTGTGTGCTTGTTTGGTTTTTGCTCCAGGTTTCCCTGGGTGGCTCAGGCTGGCCTCAAACTCACAATCCTCCCACCTCAACACTTTCCCGAGTGTTGGGATTACAGGCATGCACGCGTGCACACACACACACACACACGCACGCACACGCACGCATACAGCTTGCTAGGGCCTTGCTGGCTTTCCAGCAAGGATTCCAGGTCTCTGCGCAGTCGCATTTCACAGGACCAATAGACTTTTTCCCCCAGTGCTGGGGTTTGGACTCGGGTCCTTGCATGTGCTCTGCTCACTTGCTTGGTGGCACTTTGTCCGTTAGGCCACTTCTCTAACCTGCCCTTTTTCCCTCTAGTTAATTGGAAATGAGACTCTCACAGATGATTCTGCCTGGGCTGGCTCGGAACCTCGATCCTCCAGATCTCAGCCCCCTGAGTAGCTAGGACGACAGGTGTGAGCCACCGGCGCCCAGAGCTGCAGACTCCCAACTCCTGACAAGGGCCTCTGGCCTCTTCCCAGCACTGTGTGCGGAGGACCGAGGTCCTGCAGCTAGCGTGGCCTCCCAGCCCCGAGGCCAGGGCTGAGCAGCCAGCGGTGGACTTGGGGAGCACCCAGCCCGGCCCCCGGGGCCCCCCAGTGACGCGCACCCACCAGGAACTTGCAGGTCTCCTCCAGCACCTGGATGTGGTCGCTGAGGGTGGTGTGCCTGAACATCTGCGTGAGCGACGACCAGCCAATCACGTTCGTCCACTCGGTCAGGGCCCTTCGACAGGCCTGGGGAGGAGACAAGGCAGTGCCCAGCGCCCGCTCCCCAGGCCTAGAAGGCTGGGAAACCACAGGGAGAGGGGCTGGGGCCAGGGCTGGAGCTGGAGCTGGAGCCAGAGCCAGGGCCAGGGCCAGAACTAGAGTGAGTGTCAGAGTCAAAGCCAGAGTGACAGTCAGAGCCAGAGCCAGAGCTGGAGCCAGAGCCAGAGCCAGAACCAGAGTGAGTGTCAGAGCCAGAGCCAGAGCCAGAGCCGGAGCTGGAGCTGGAGACAGAGCTAGAGCCAGAGTCAGAGTCAGAGCCAGAGCCGGAGCCGGAGCCGGAGCCGGAGCCAGAGGCAGAGTGAGAGCTGTAGCCAGAGTTGGAGCTGGAGCTGGAGCTAAAGCCAGAGTCAGAGCCAGAGTCAGAGTCAGAGCCAGAGCCGGAGCTGGAGCCAGAGTCAGAATGAGAGCCAGAGCTAGAGCCAGAGGTGGAGCAGGAGCCAGAGCCGGAGTCAGAGCCAGAGCCAGAGCCAGAGTGAGTGTCAGAGCCAGAGCCAGAGTCACAGTGAGAGCTGGAGCCGGAGTGGGAGTGGGAGCTGGAGCCGGAGTGGGAGTGGGAGCTGGAGCCGGAGTGGGAGTGGGAGCTGGAGCCGGAGTGGGAGTGGGAGCTGGAGCCGGAGTGGGAGTGGGAGCTGGAGCTGGAGCCAGAGTCAGAGCCAGAGTGAGAACTGGAGCCAGAGCCAGAACGAGAGCCAGGGCTGGAGCCAGGGCCCACCAAGAAGTGCACGGAAAAGGAGCAGCCCACATGGGTCATGGCACGGATCAGCCGTGGAAAGAAGGGAGAGAGAGGCAGGGAGGATAGGAGGAGGGAAGGAGAGATGGGAGAGGGAAGTGGAAGGAGGAGGGAAGGAGGGAGGAAAAAAGGAGGGAAGGAAGGCAAGAGGGAGGGAGCAAAGAAGGAAGAAGAAAGGGAGGGAGGAGGAGGGAAGGAGAGATAGAAGGAGGGAATGAGGGAGAGGAAGGAAGGAAGGAGGGAAGGAAGGCAGTTAAGGAAGGAAGGAAGGAAGGAAGGAAGGAAGGCGGGAGGGCAGGAGGGAGGGAGGGCAGCATGGGAGGGAGGGAGGGAGGGAGGGAGCGGCCGCACCTTGACCACCTCCACGTTGTTGTCCTGGATGCTGAGCAGCAGCGGGAGGAGGAAGGAGTAGATCTCCTTGCGCACCAGCATCCCGGGCTTGAACTGGAACACGCGGTGCAGCATGTGGCCCAGCGCCGAGGTGGCCGAGACCCGCACCTGGTCTCTCTCCTGCCGGGGGAGGGGGAGGCACGGATGGAGCCTGGGGGCCCTTGTCCCCGCCCCTCCCCAGGCCTGGCTCCCTCCTGCCAGGCTCAGCTGCACCCCAAGACTGGAGAGCCGGTCATTCCCTCTCAAGTCCCCCACATAAGACACGATACGCCAGAGACGCGGCCTCAGCTCATCTTACTCCGACACCCTTCACATCTATAGCTTGCAACTCCATCAACAAGGCCTGCTTACTGATTTTCCTGGTACTACGTATGCCTTGAATTCAGGGCTGGCACTTGCATGGCTTTCTTGCTGTTGGCTGGTGCTCTACCATTTGAGCCATGCCTCCCATCTGGCATTTTGCTGGTAGTTGTTGTTGTTGTTTTTAAGAGATGGAGTCTCAAAGATGTTTCTATCCAGACTAGCCCTGATCTGGCTCCGGAGTAGCTAAGATTACAGGTAAGAACTTTGTTGCTTTTTATTCTGTGAATCAGAATAGCTTTAGAGAGGATCATAAAAAGACAACAGCCAGACATGGCAGCTCGTGCTCGTCAATGAATCCTAGTGACTCGGGAGGATCTCATGTGGAGGCCGGCCTCCATGGAGAAGGCATGGGACAGCACGCATCTATCCTCCGAGCTACACGGAAAATGTGAATAGGAGGATCACAGTCCAAGCCAGATGAGGGGGAAAAAATCAAGACCCTATTCCAAAAAATAGGTCGGGGGCTGGACAGGTGGCTCAGTGGCAGAGCGCTTGCCTCGCATGCACGAGGCCCTCAGCACCACATAAGCAGAAAAAGCCGGAAGGGGAGCTGCGGGGCTCAAGTGGTAGAGCGCTAGCCTTGAGCAGAAGAGCTGAGGGACAGCGCCCAGGCCCAGAGTTCAGGCCCCCCCACACTGGCAAAAAAAAAAAAAAAAAAAAGACTAAGTCTAAGCAGGGTGTTGGAGTCCTGGCTCAAGTGGTAGAGCGTCAGCCAATGAGCAAAAGCATCCAATACTGAGTTCAAGTCTTGGTCTTAGACCCACAGAAAAGGAAGAAAGAAAAAAGATGAATCTAAGCAACACAGCAACACTCCATCTTCTAACAAACAAATCAACCCTCCAGATCTACTTTACAGAGACTCTTAAAGCCTGGGAAAGAGCAGAAGCGAAGGCTCTGGAATGCAGAGATGAAGTCTAGGTGAAGAAACGAAAGATGAAGCCGAGCGCCGGTGGCTGGCGCCCGACATCCTGGCCCCTCAGCAGGCTGAGATCTGAGGGTGGGGGGTTCAAAGCCAGCCTGGGCAGGAAAGTCCGTGAGACTCTTTATCTCTAATAAACCACTCAGAAAAAGCCGGAAGGGGTAGAGCGCCAGCCTTGAGCACAAAGAAGCTCAGGGACAGTGCCCAGGCCCTGAGTTCAAATCCCAGGCCAAAAAGAAAATTAATAAATAAAGAACTAAGGGACCATGAGCTGGGCACAGGAACCACACACCTGGAATCCTGGCTACACAAATCCCTGAGCCCGCAGAGATCTTTAGTGATCCCTCTGCTCGGGTAGAGCGTCATGTGGACCGCAGAGATCTTTAGTGATCCCTCTGCTCGGGCAGAGCATCATGTGGACCGGGTACAGGCACCGTTGCACCCACTTGGCATCCCAGCCCGGCGGGGGGGGGGAGGGAATGGAGAGGATGGCCTTGGGGCTCAGAGGCTCACAGCCTCGGACATCCTGGCCATGGTGTGGACCTGGCTTTGGGGTTTGGCAGACGTCCCCAGAGAAAGTTCCAGAAGGCCAGAGCCGTACGTCATTGATGAGCGGGCAGAGCTGCCTGGAGACGTCGCAGAAGAGCAGCTTGGTGTCCTCGCCGGGCCGGTGGTAGATGATGTTCCGCAGGCCCTTGACTGCCTGCACCGTCACGCGCAGCTCGCCCTTCAGGAAGGTCCGCAGGAACGGCACCAGGCTCTTCAGGTCCTTCGACTGTGGGGGCGGAGCGAGGCCCACACAGCATCAGCAGGGCGGGGGACGCAGCATGAGCTACCCGGGGTATCTGGAAGGACTGGCGGTGGAAGGCCCGGGGTGGAGGTCCAGGGCGGGGGATGCCCCTCCCCCGGGAGAGGGGGGCTCACGTGCGTGGGGTGCAGCGCCAGGTTGCTGATTCCCCGAAGACCGATCTCCTTCATGATAAGGCTGGGCTCCTTGGCCCAGTGGATGAGATTGCCCACGCAGTCCTGCCCGATGGTCTCCGCCACCGATCGATGCCACAGGAGCTGCGGGGGCGGGGGGGGGAGGGGGGAAGAGGGAGGCCAGGGCTGCGGGGGAGGGGCGAGGCCGGGGCCCCCCAGGTGCCCGGGGAGGGATGCACCAGCCCCCCCAGGTGGGGCCTCACCTGCACGTAGAGCGTGCGGGCCATGAGCCTCTGGCGGTGGTCGACACTGTACAGCATGTTCTTGATGTGGTTCAGGATCCGCTGCAGGATGTTGGGCTCACACTTCTTCACGATGCCGCTGAGCACCCCGGGAAAGAAGCGGGCTTGGGGATGGCGGCCGGGGAGCGGGGCGCACAGAAGCGGGGAGACCCCAGGGCTGTGGGGGTGAGGGGAGAGCAGGGCCCGAGGCGGGGGGGGGGGGGGGAGGCCCACCTGGCCAGGTCCATCATGCCGATGTAGTAGGTCTTGGGGCTGGACAGCAGGTCCCAGCAGTTGCGCTGCCTGGCGTACTCCGCCACGCCCTCGTACGCCGCGCCCACCAGCACCAGCCTCACCACCTCCAGGGCGCAGCTGGCGGCCGCGCACGCGAGCAGAGAACACGGCTCACACCCCGGCTCCCACCCCACGCGGCCGGCTGGCTAGGACAGGGTTCTAGCCCCCCTCCCCCCCACCGTGGCCAGGCTCTGCTTTCCCAGCATGCCATGGAACCTTGCTGCCACCGCTCTGCCATTTCACCCTCCCAACCCAGACCCCCTCCACCCAGAATCCTGCGATGGAGACCAGAGACAGACAGAGACAGAAACAGAGACACACACACAGAGACACAGAGACACAGACACAGACAGAGACGGAGACGGAGAGAGACAGAGACACAGAGACAGACAGAGACACAGAGACAGACAGAGACAGAGACGGAGAGAGACAGAGACACAGAGACAGACAGAGACACAGAGACAGACAGAGAGACACAGACACACAGAGACAGAGAGAGATAGCCAGAGACAGAGAGAGCCAGAGCCAAGAGAGACAGACAGACAGAGATAGAGAGGGAGAGGGAGAGACACACAGAGATACAGAGACAGAAAGAAAGGGAGAGACGGAGACGGAGAGGCAGAGAGAGGCCGTGCTGTGGGGCCTCCATCCGTTCTCCCACAGACGCGGCCGAGGCCTCTGAGCACAAACATGGAGAGCACTCCCCACTGTGCTCACTGCCGGCCACACGGAGCCCCGAGCCGCCACGCCCGTCCCCCACCACTCAGGAGGCTGAGGCTGGAGGCTCAGGATTTGAAGCCAACCTGGCCAAAAGGAAATCCGCGAGACTCTAACCTCCCCTTAGCCACACACACACACACTCACACACTCACACACACACACACGCACTCACACATGCACACATGTACACACTCACACACACAGCTCATTTGAATAATGTATCCCAAAGTCAAAGGGAAAAAAATATGTCATCTTCTTATTCAGGCCCCCCGCCCCGTTCCACACCGGGCGTGGGGTTTCCCCGAGCAACGGCCCCGCTGACCTGGTGGGGTCCAGGTGCTTGCTCTTGCGGCGCGCGGTCTCCTCGCTGGAGTAGACCAGCAGCTTCTGCGGGATGTTCTGCTCCATGACCCAGTACAGGTGGCACAGCACCGCCAGCAGCAGCCGCGGGTACAGCTCCTGGATGGCCTCGTGGCACAGCGGCCCCGACAGCATCTCGTGGAGGGCGCACACCGCCTGCGGGGGCGGGGGGGGTTCACCAGGCCTGCCCCCCCCCACACACACACGTGCCCTGTGGTTGTGGCTAAGGAGGGGGAGGGCCACGGTGCCAAGCTCTCGCTCTACTGTCTTGGCACTGGGGAGGAAAAGGGAGCAGGCGTGGAGGGGGCAGTGCCAGCCAGTAGAGAAACTGAGGCAGGAGGGCCGCTTGTGGGGCAGGCCCAGCAACATAGGAAAGAAGGAAAGAGGGATAACAGAAAAGAGGGAGAGATGGAGGGAAGGAGATAGGGAAGGGAGGGAAGGAGGGAAGAGAAGGAAAGGAGGGAAGGGAAGGAAGGGAAAGGAGAGAGGGAGGGATGAAAGGAGGCAAGGGAGGGAGGGAAGGAAGGAAGGAAGAAAGAGGGAGGGAGGGAAGGAAGGAAGAAAGGAAGAAAGAGGGCGGGAGGGAAGGAAGGAAGGAAGAAAGGAAGAAAGAGGGCGGGAGGGAAGGAAGGAAGGAAGAAAGAAGGAAGGGAAGGAGGGAAGAAAAGAAGGAAGGAAGGAAGAAAAGCAAGAGAAGGAAGGAAGGGAGAGAAGGAAGGAAGGAAAGGAAAAGGAAGGGAGACATTAATAGAAGAAGGAAGGAAGGAGGGAGGGAGGGAGGGAGGGAAGGAAGGAAAGAAGAAAGGAAAGCAAGAGAAGGAGGGAGGGAGAGAAGGAAGGAAGGGAAAGGAGGGAGGGAGGGATGGGAAGGAAGGAAGGAAAAAGGGAGAGATGAAGGAAGGAAGGGAGGAAGGAAGGGAGGAAGGAAGGAAGGAAGGAAAGAAGGTTGGGAAGAAGGGAGGGAGGGAGGAGGCCGACGCAGCAATGACTTGGGGAACACGTTGTGCCCCCCTTCCTTCCTCCCTCGTCCCCCATGAGACCCCAGACGCCATGCCCGAATGAGGCCCAGAGGGCTGCGTGACCCTGCTACCCATCTTCTCCTGGGCCAAGCCCCCTTCCACGCTGAAAGCCGGCCTGCGCCCCAATCCTAGAGACCCTCCGGCTGGCCGACCCCTGCCCCCAGCGGCCCTCCACTGACCGCCACGGGCTGCAGGGCCATCTCCTTGGTCTCCTCCCGGTTCTTCTTCTCCAGGATGGCGATGAGCACTTGCAGGATGTTGATGGCCGTCTCCCGCTGGGCCCCGAAGGCTTTCCACAAGGCCAGCTTGGTTCTGCAAGGACACAGGACAGCACGTCCGTCCTTCTGTCCTTCCATCATGGGCTGGGCAGAGTCGGGGTGGGGGGGCTCCAGGAAGGGACCTCCGTCCACCCCACCCGACCCGACCCAGAACTGGCCAGAGAACGCGGGCGTGAGGCCTGGCTGGATGACGCCTGGGGGGCGGGGCTGGGGCCCGGGCGGGGGCGGGGCCTGGGGCCCGGGCTGGGGCGAGGGCGTGGTCTGGGTGGGGGCGTGGTCGGGCCGGGGTGGGGCGGAGCCGGGGCGAGGCCGGGGCATGGGCGTGGTCTGGGTGGGGCGTGGTCGGGCCCGGGCCGGGGCGGGGCGAGGCCGGGGGCGGGGCCGGGACCAGGCAGGTACCTGTCCCAAGGCAGGGACTTGCTGAGCAGCATGGGCACCACGGCGGGCGTGTTGCTGCCGGCTAGGGCACACATGGCCTTCAGGGTCTCCTCCCTGGTGCTGGGCTCTAGCTGCATGTGCAGTCTCTCCAGGATGCCCTCCACCACCTCGCTGATCTGCAGGAGACGGGGAGGGGGGGACCCTGGTGGGTGACTGTGCTCTCGGGGGGTCCCGGGACCAGGCCACAGGAAGCTGACCCTGCCCGCAGCCCACCCAAGGGGGTCCTGGGCCCCTCCAAAGGGACGAGAAACCCTGCGGGAAACAGAAAGTCCCCCCAGATACTTTAGGGCTTCCCCAACCCCATAGACACCGCTCCAGCAACTGGGAGCAGCTTCTGTCCACAAAACTAGAAGGATCCTTGGCGCTTGAGGGGTGGGGGACCACAGGACATCTGTGCAGCCCCGTGAAGTCCACATAAACAGAGCAGTGGGTTCCCAAACACTTGCCCTATGGGATCCCCTCTTTTTTTATTTTCTGGTCAGTTATGGGGCTTGAACTCAGGGCCTGGGTGCTGTCCCTCAGCTCTTCAGCTCAAGGCTGGCGCTCTACCACTTGAGCCACAGCGTCACTTCCGGTTTTCTGGTGGTTTCTTTGAGATCACAGTCTCACGACTTTCCTGCCCGGGCTGGCTTCAAACTGTGATCCTCAGACCTCAGCCTCCTGAGTAGCTAGGATGACAGGTTTGAGCCTCCAGTATCCAGCTGAGACCTTCTTTTGAAGTCCTTTTTTTGTTTGTTTGTATGTGTGCCGGTACTGGGGCTTGAACTCAGGCCCTATGCGCTGTCCTGAGGTTTTGTGCTCAAGGCCAGCGCTCTACCACGTGAGCCACAGCTCCACTTCCATCTTTTCCTGGGTAGTTAATTGGAGATCAGAATCTCATGGACTTTCCTGCCCGGGCTGGCTTTGAACTGTGATCCTCAGATCTCAGCCTCCTGAGTAGCTGGGATGACAGGTGTGAGCACGGGTGCCTGGCTGAAGCCTTTTTCTGAGTGAAGTGTAAATGCAGGTACTTGTGCAGCCTTCCCATCATTTCACATTAGGCTAAAAAGATCACACTGTCGGTCACTCCTGCTGTGTCTTCATGTCCAGTCTCTGTCTCCTGGTGCTGGCCGAGGCCCCCTGCCCCGTCACCCCCACCAGCTATGCACCCCTGAACCTAGCGAAGGGCCCTCAAGACAGTAGGGCGGCTCGGGACTCAGGACTGTACCTGTCAGGGCCGGCTAGCTCCGGAGCCGGGTGAGGATGCAGAGATCTAGATCTAGGGGTTCAGGTCCTGCCTCCCTGCTCCTGAGCCCGCAGGTGGAGGGGGGCGGGGCATCTACCTTTATCATATCTCTGCCTCGCTCCTTCATGACCGCGCTCATCAGCTGCGCAGCCGCCAGCGACATCTTCACCTTGCTGTCTGTCAGGCTCTCCATGGCAGTCAGCACCAGGTTGGTGACCTGGATCTGAGTGAAGTACTCGGCAAACGCCTGACAGGGGGAGGACCGGGTTGGACACCTGTAGCCCCACGCCCGCCCGGCGTGGCCAGGGCAGGAGCCGGCCCGCCCGCTCTGAGGACCAAGACTCAGGAAGCACCGAAACAAATGCTTCTGGGGCCGGGCATGGCGACTCCCGCCTGTCATCCCAGCTACTCAGGAGGCTGAGGTCTGAGGATCACAGTTCAAAGCCAGCCCGGGCAGGAAAGTCCGTGAGACTCTGATCCCCAAAGAACCACCCAGGAAAAAATGGAAGTGGCGCTGTGGCTCAAGTGGTAGAGCGCTGGCCTCCACCAAAAAGAGGCCCTGAGTTCAAGCCCCCTGGACCCGCAAAAACAAGTTTCACCGCAGTGGTAGAGGACAGAGAGGATGGTGGAGCCCTGCCCTGGTCGTCCACAGGATGATCTGCAGAACCCCCAACCCTCCCCTGTCCCCACCTCCCCTGTCCCCAACCCTCCCCTGTCCCCACCTCCCCTGTCCCCAACCCTCCCCCGTCCCCACCTCACCTGGGCCCCTCACCTTGGCAATTTTATAGGTGTTGTTGTGGAACACGTGGGCACTGTAGGCCACAGTCTTGTCCTCTTCCTCCCACATGCCCTGCCTCTTCTTCAGCATCTCTGCAACTCAGACGCCGACCTCTGAGTCCAGGCCTAGCCCCAGACACCAGCGGAACCCCGACACAGAGCCCCAGACACGAGCTGAACCCCGACACAGAGCCCCGGACACGAGCTGAACCCCGACACAGAGCCCCGGACACGAGCTGAACCCCGACACAGAGCCCCAGACACGAGCTGAACCCCGACACAGAGCCCCGGACATGAGCTGAACCCCGACACAGAGCCCCGGACACGAGCTGAACCCGAGTCAGCTTGGGCAACACTGTGTGGTTGTCTGGTGGTCCTTGGTGGGGCAGGAGTTGGACATGGGCATTAGGATGGGAAATGCTGAATGCCCCCCACCCCCTGCTCGACCCATGCCAACACCCAACTGGGCACAGAGAAGGTACGGGGCCCCAAGAAAACACCATCTGTAGAGGTGAGGGAGAAGATTCCTCCACAGAGAGAGAGAGCTCAGGAAGCAGTGAGTGGGTGTGGCCAGGAATAAGATGGGGACAGGGATGGGGACGGGGAGGGGAGGGAAGGGAGAAGAGGGGGAGAGAAGGAAGGGGAGGGAGGAGGGAGGAGGGAGGGGAGGGGCAGAAGGAGAGAGGAGGGGAGGGGAGGGGAGGGGAGGGGCCTTACGCTTCTGCTGCAAGAGGATGCAGTAGAGGTTGTAGACGGCTTGGGAAGACAGGAAGGAGATGTTGTCCACCGAGTCCTGGCAGCGAATGGCCAACATCCTCACCAGCCGCCCCAGCCGGGCAAACTGAATCTCCACCTGGGAAGGAACACCAACCGGAAGTCACCTTATCACCGCCCCTCCCAGGAAAGGGCTGCAGGTGGGGGGAGGGGGAACCTGTGGGCCAGAGACAGGAGAGGCAGGACTAGGGGGCGTGGCATGGCAGGGCCCCAGGCCCTGGGCCCCAATACAGGAAAGGCAGGACTGGGCTTGGCATGGCAGGGCCTCAGGCCCTGGGTCCCAGCTCCAGAACCAATGTGGGTGGGTGGCCCGGTGGATGGTGGATAAATAGATGGATGATGAAAGATGGATGGATGCTGGTGCTGGTGGCTCACGCCTGTCATCCCAGCTACTCAGGAGGCTGAGATCTGAGGATCAGGGTTCAAAGCCAGCCTGGAAAGTCCATGAGACTCTTATCTCCCATGAACCACCAGAAAACTGGAAGTGGCGCTGTGGCTCAAAGTGGTAGAGATCTAGCCTTGGCCCTGACTTCAAGTCCCACAACCAACAGCAACAACAACAAAAAAGATGGATGGATAGATGGAAAGATTAAATAAGTGCTAGAGAGACAGAGGGATGGAAGATGGATTGACAGATGAATGGAAAGATAGAGATAAATGACTGGTACATAAAAGACACGGTGGAAGACTAGATGATAGACTGAATAGACAGCTGAGCAGGTAGATGAGCACATAGCTAAAATCCACAGGTAGATAGATACAGGTGATGGGTGAGTGAGTAGCTTAGATACAGACAGAGAGATACAGATGCACGGAGAGCTGAGGATAGGTGGATGGGTAGATGTCGACAGAGGAGTTCACAGATGGAGATTAGATAGAGGAGTTCATAGGTGGAGATTAGATTGGCAGACAAGACAGATGAGGGATGAGGGAATAGGTCAGATACTGATGGATGGATAGATGGATGGTCGAATGAGTAATCAAGATAGATTCATAGGTAGGTAGATAAATGAGCGCAGAGATGCATAGAGTAGATAGGCAGGCAAAAACGATGGATGAGGGAATAAGATGGATGGATAGGTAGATGAGTACATAAATGGATAGATTAGATTGGCAGATAGATGATGGGTGAATGAATAGATATGATGGATGGATGGAAGGATAGAGAGAGGAATGAATAGACTAGATACATATAGATAGGTAGATAGATGAATGAGTGCATAGACAGATTAACAGGCAGACAGAGACAGATGAATAAGATAGATGTGAGTGAGTATGATAGAGTGAATAAGATGGATGGATGGATGGATGGATGGATGGATGGATGGACAGACGGATGGACGGACATAGACAGATGGGGCCACCCCGCACAGCACCCACACACATCCTGGCACTGATGTTGAGAGGAAGGCTAAGTGGCCAAGGCGGCAGGTATGATTCACGTGACGGCACGTGTCATCCGTGTCATGCAGGGCCCGTGTCACGCCGTGACCGTGTCGTGCAGGTTCAGAGGGGGACAGCAGGGCTGGCGGCAGGGACCCCACTCACTTCAAAATTATTCATCTGAGCCGTAAAGCCCAGAACACGAGCTGTAATCCACATGGCGCGTTCCCGTTCATTGTCCTTGTGTGAGTTCAGCCAGGGGTCCAGCATCTGGAGGGAGAGGAGAACAGGCGAGGCTCGATCGGCAGCCGGAAGGAGAGAAGCCTGATCAGCTGCTTTCCAAACCGCAGAAAGCCAGGTGGGAGCCCGGCTGCCGCAGGCCGGCAGGGCCGGCACTCTGAGAGCCCGGCCACCTTGGCCTAGAGGTCGAGCCCGGCACCGGGTGCCTCTGTTTCCACAGCCCCGCGGGACTTGCGTACATTGGGGTTCTAGACCCTGACTCCGTGGCCCGCTGTGCAACCTTGGCTGCACGCACCCCGTTTTCTCCTGGACCAGCATGTGGGCCCTGCAGGGTGGCTGCACACGGTCCGTGACTTTTCCCTGAGCACTCCAACATACTTCAGGGAGAGACCAGCATAGCTCAGACCGCAGCTCTGCTGCCTCTCCCCTGCACGGCCTTCCTCCTCCATCCACTTCCTGCCAGCTCAGCCCCACCGACCACGGGGGACAAAGGCTCTGTCCACTCAGGACCCCGCTAGGCGCCCGGGTCTGGAATGAGGGCTCTGAAAAACGGCCAATTGAAAGTGATTTCAGACTGGAGTAGGAGGGAGCTGTGTGCTCGGGCTGCTGTCTTTGGAAAGAGGTGATCACATGCGTGTGTGCGCACACACACACATGAACAGACATGTGCACAAATGCACCCACACACACATCACACACAGACGAGACACAGACACATAGGAATGTGCTGTGGAATCAGGCACCTGTGGCTCACGCCTGTCATCCCAGCTACTCAGGGATCTGAGGATCACAGTTCAAAGCCAGCCTGGACAAGAAATTCCGTGACTCTTTTTTTTTTGGTCATGGGGCTTGAACTCAGGGCCTGGGCGCTGTCCCTCAGCTCTTCAGCTCAAGGCGAGTGCTCTACCACTTGAGCCACAGCACCACTTCCGGTTTTCTGGTGGCTTATTGGAAATAAGAGTCTTATGGACTTTCCTGTTCAGGCTGGCTTTGAAACGTGATCCTCAGATCTCAGCCTCCTGAGTAGCTAGGATGACAGGCGTGAGCCACCAGTGCCCGGCACCCATGAGAGTCTTATCTCCAGTGAACCACCAGAAAATCAGAAGTGGAGCTGTGGTTCAAATGGTAGAGGGGTCGCCTTGAGCAAACAACAACAACAACAAAAAAAACCTGAGACAACTCCTAGGCCCTGAGTTCAAGTCCCACAACCAACAAAAACAAACAGCCAGGAACAACAACAGCAAAAGATTGTGTTGTGTGAGTGACGAGGGGGACAGGACGGAGGACACGGCTACAAAATCAAGTAGCAGGGCACACGTGAGTGAGCTCACGGTCCTAGTGCTATAAATAAAAGGGGGGGGGACTGGAAGGCAGAGGACCACCAGCCCAGCCCCGCCTCAGCCTGCAGCCTCCACTTTGAACGCGAAGCCACGCCAAAGCTGCGCCGTCACACCCAGTGCGATGCCTTCAGGAGCAGCCAGAGGACACCGCAGGCCCGTGTGTGGGAACCCCTCTGCACCCCGCGCCTGCTCTGCCCTCCCCCAAGCCCCCCATCTCACGTTCGCTGGGGCCGCCCCTCGCACCTACCTCCAAGCACAGGGGGACCTTGGAGGGGTCTTCGATGACCACGGCCTCCATCAGCGTGTGCAGTGCGTGCATGGTGACCCTGAACAGATCCTGGGGGGGGGGGGGGAGGACCTCAGGCTGCCGCCAACCAATGGGCACTCCCCCCCAAATCCCCGCCTGAGTCCCCCCCCCCACACTTCCTCCCCATCCCGGGCTTCCCTGGTGGCCCAGTGCTGACAGGAACCACCAGGACCTCTGTCCTGCCCCAAGCGTGCACGTGTTCTGGCCCTTGTTCCCCCACCAAGCCTTTCTCCCCATCCCTGTGCTGGGCTCCCGGCCTGGGCCTCAGCAAGCAGGCTGGGGGTGAGGGCGGAGCCCAGCACGGTGCAGGTGAGCGTGTGTGGCTCAGGTGAGTGAGTGTGCACGGTGCAGATGAGTATGCACGGTGCAGGTGAGTGTGCACGGCGCAGGTGAGTGTGCACGGTGCAGGTGAGTGTGCACGGCGCAGGTGAGCATGTGCAGTGAGTGCACACGCAGGACCTCGCTGTGAGGCACAGGCGTGCCCCTGGGTGAAGGGTCGCTCACAGCGCTCCCCGCCTGAGCACGAGGAGCGGGCAGAGGAGCCGGGCTCGCTAGCTGCACGGGAAGACGCATCAGTTCACATCACTAAAGAAAAAAGACAATCCCACCCGTAAACACAGCCTCCGGCTGTAAAGGAACCCACAGGGAGGCAGGAAACTGCAGGGAGCCTGTTCACAAGATTTATATGAATACCCAAAGAGCCAGGTGCCACCTGGCATCCCAGCTACTCAGGAGGCTGAGATCTGAGGATCGGGGTTTGAAGCCAGCCTGGGCAGTGGAGTCCACGCCACCTGACCTCCGACAGCTGAGCCTCCATGGGCCTCCACCGATCTCCTGTTCATTAAACGTGGGGGCTTCTCCCCTGCAACACTGCCCCGGCCTCCCACACAACGGCGAGAAGCAGCAGTTACCAGGACAGCCAGGCCCTGGCTGGGGCTGGAGGCATCTCTCTTCAGGATGTCGGAGGGCGGCAGCGCCAGCACGCTCCCGAGGCAGGTCCGCAGCAGCTCCACCCAGCTCTCGTTCTCCAGGATGGGCTTGAACTTCCTGCGCGGAAGGATGGGCAGGAGGGGAACAGAGGGAGCAGACGGAGAGAGAAAGAGGAGGAGATGACAAGAATGGAACGGAAGCCGGGCTCTGTGGCTCACGCCTGTCATCCCAGCTACTCGGGAGGCTGAGAGCTCAGATCGTGGTTCGAAGCCAGCCTGGGGCAGGAAAGTCCGTGAGACTCTGATCTCCAATTCATCACAGAAAAAGCCGGAAGTGGTGCTGTGGCTCAAGTGGTAGAGCGCCCGCCTTGAGCAAAAGAAGCTCAGGGACAGCGCCCAGACACAGAAAAAAAAATTGACACCTTCAAATGCAAACTGTTTGTACAACTAGATGACCAATGCATAGATGACAGATTAAATGACAGAGAATAAATATAGATAACAGACAGATGATAAATGATTGACAGATGATAAGCTGAGAGTAGATTGATAGATGATAGTGCTAAGTAGATGCCAGATGAGAAATCAGATGACAGATTATGAATGATTGATAGATGATAGATGAGAGGTGATAAGATGGATGATGGTAGATAGATGATAGATCACGGATAGAAGATAGATGGAATAGATTGATAGACAGATGGAAGGACAGACGGACAGATGGATGGATGAATATGGATGGTTGGAAGGATAATGGGTGGATGGATGGATAGATGGTTGGTTGGATGGATGGATGGATGATGGATGGATGGATGGATGGACAGATGGATAGATGGATGGATCATGGGTGGATGGATGGGTGGATGGTTAGATGGATGGATGGGTGGATGAATGGATGGGTGAACAGATGGATAGTGGATGGACGGATGGATGGACAGATGTACAGACAGATGGATAGATGGATGGATGAAGGGCGGACGGCTGGCTGGCTGGCTGATGGGCAGAGCCAGCGTCTGGTTACCTGAAGTCGGTGATGATGCTCATGGCGTTCTGTCTAATGGGGCTGGAGAGGGTGTTGATTGGCTCCTTCCTAATCACGTCCTGCGACAGACAGCCCAGCCCAAGACCAGGACACCTCAGGAGCACAGCTCAGCTGCCTCCTCCTCCCACTCCTCCTCCTCCCTCTCCTCTTCCCTCTCCTCCTCCCCCCCCCGCACCCCCCCGCCCCGTCAGCAGCCTCCAGGTTAGGCCTAGAACCCTAGACCCCTCAGGAACCTGCCATGGGGCACCCCCACCCCAACCTCTCTTGCCCCGAGTTCTTCCCTGACCTGACCACCTCTCCTCCGGCTGGCAGAGGAGCCCAGCGGTGGCAGGGAGGGGGGAGCAGTGGGGAGCCCTCCCCCTCCCCCTCCCCCCAGCTCCTTGGCGCCCTGCCGCCATACCACCATGAAGGCCACTATCTCCAGCTTGTGCGGGATGTTGCTTTGGATCATGATTTTCTGCTGGCTCAGCACGCTGGTGAGTTGGGACAGCGTCTCCAGGTAACACAGCTTCAGATTGTTATCCTAGGGGAAGGAGGATGCTCAGGGCCCCCAGGTGAGGGAACCCCCCCTCCACGATCTCGCCCTGGGGAGGTGGGAGCAGCCGAGGAAAGGCAGGGGCAGTAACTCCTGCGGTGGAAATGCCCGCCCCTCCCCATGGGGGCGGGGGCGGGGAAGGGGCTCCCCTCTCTCCTCAAACTAAAAGCTGGAAACACCCAGCTTCCTTCCTGCTTGAGATGTGTCTTGAGTCGGGTGAGGCAGTTCAAAGCCCTGTGATCCTAGCTACTTGGGAGGCAGAGGTCAGGAGAACTGAGGTCTGAGGCTGGCCCAGCATAGAAGTTCTCAAGACGCTCCATCTCAACCAAGGGCTGGGGGCAGGAACACACCCCCGTCACCCCAGCGACACAGGGAAGCACAGGGCAGCCCATCCTGCCACCCTGGGTGAGGAGATAACCAAGGCAAATAGCGGCGGGAGGTGTGGCTCAAGTGGTAGAGCACCTGCCTAGCCAGCATAAGGCACATAGGACTGTCCACGGTGCAGGGCAGGAAAGTTTCTCTATACAGCTGTGCTTCCCACCAAGTCAGGGCTCCGGAGTAGCTGGGTAAGGAATGCCTGATTGAGGTAGGGCGCCCGCCTGTCATCCCAGCAACTCAGGAGGCTGAGATCCAAGGATCACGATTCAAAGCCAGCCTGGGCAGGAAAGTCTGTGAGACTCTGATCTCCAATGAAGCACCAGAAAACCAGAAGTGGTGCTGTGGTTCAAGTGGCAGAGCGCTCACCTTGAGCACAAAGAGACTCAGGGACAGCCCCGAAGCCCTGAGTTCAAGCCCCAGGACACTCTCTCTCTCACACACACACACAAGGACAGATCGAAAGCTGGAGGGGGAAGTCCCTGTGAGAGGAGGCCAGAAGCGGGGGCAGGAGGGTGGGGAGGGAGAGGTCTGCCTGCACCTTCTCCACAATGCAGTTCTGATAGTGCTGCAGGGTCAAAGCCAGGATGCTGTCCACGTGTTTGAAGACGGCGGCCGTGTTCTCTAAGATGATCTTGGCGTAGATGAAGTAGATGGTGCTACAGACCAGCCCCCACTCCCTCTGCTGGAGCTCCTGCGGGGGAGGAGGTGGAGAGGCAAAGTGGCCGTCTCCTTGCCGGATGGGGAAACTGAGGCCAGGAGAGGAAAAGCATGCTCGGAAAGCCTGGGACATGTGTACGTGAGCACTAGCAAGCTCTAACGCTTGAGGCCAGGACAGGAGGACGGGACGTCCCCGTGTGGGCCAGGTGGACGTTCCCAGGAGGGACCCCAGGCCTGGGGGACCAGGGAGTCTGGGGTGACGGGGCGCAGGCACCTGCTTGAGTTTGAGGATGGGCGAGGCGTCCTGGTTGGTGAGCGCGGTGCCAAACTCCTCAACTTCGTCCAGAACCACCTGCAGGTGCCGCATCGACACGATGCTAAACGCCACAGCGATGCCCTGCGGCGGCGGCGGGCGGGGGGGGGGGGGGGGGGGCGCGGGGAGAGAAGGAAAGGCAGCTTGGTTCCCTTGAATGGTTTGAGGTCCAGGAAGAGAGCTAAGCAATTCAGTAGAAGCAGCTGTGTGTGTGCGTGTGCGTGTGCGTGTGCGTGTGTGTGTGTGTGTGTGTGTGTGTGTGTGTGTGTCCTGGGGCTGAACGCAGAGTCTGGGCACTGTCCCTCAGCTCAAGGCAAGCGCTCTACCACTTGAGCCACAGCACCACTGCTGGTATTCTGGTGGTTTATTGGAGATGAGAGTCTCACAGACTTTCCTGCCCGGGCTGGCTTTGAACCACGATCCTCAGATCTCAGCCTTCTGAGTAGCTGGGATGACAGGCGGGAGCCACCAGCCACCGGCTTACAGTTTTCTATGGTACTAAAGGAGTGAAGGTGTGGCTCAAAAAAAAGAGGTGTGGCTCAAAACATTGGGGGTGTGGCCCAAGACAGGGGTGTGGCTTAAACAGTTGGGGCGTGGTCTAAGGGGCAGGGGCGTGGCTAGATGGTGGGGGGCAGGCTCTAGGGGTAAGGGCTGGGATCCAGTGGTAAATCAAGTGCTTAGCAAACAACAGGCCCTAAGTTAAAGTCCAGGCATTGAACCGGCACCGGAGGCTCAAGCCTGTCATCCTAGCTATTCAGGAGGCTGAGATCTGAGATTTGCAGTTTAAAGCCAGCCCTGGCAGGAAAGTCTGGGAGGCTTGTAATCTTCATCTAAGCACCAAAAAGCCAGATGTGGAGCTGTGGCTCAAGAGCTGTAGCCTTGAGCAGGAAAGCTCAGGGACAGCAGCCCCAGGCCCCGGGTTCAAGCCTCAGTACTGGAACAAACAACAAAAAAGGGGGCGGGGAGAGAAAGAAAAACGATAGTATGTATACAGAGAGAGCACACAGGAAAATGCTAAGATTGGGGAAGTCTCTGGGAAGGGCACACAAAACTTCCTTGGGCTGTCTGCTTTCGGCTGTGTGTATGTGTGTATGTGTGTGTGTGTGTGTGTGTGTGTGTGTGTGTGTGCGTGTGCGCGCACGCGTATGACTCTTCTACAAGCATCCGATTGTGTCAAGACACAAAGCTCTTCATCTTCACCTCCCTCTCCAGCAGCTCCTCGTGGGAAGTCTTCAGAATCGACCACAGAATCTTCTTCACCAGCTGGGGGTTGTTGGTGGTGCTCAAGGTGTAGCCAAGGAATCTGTACAGGAAAGCCTAGGTGGTGGGAAGGAAGGAAGGTCAAAGCCAAGGTCAGGCAGGCTTAGCGGGAGACCAGGGCAGCCAGCTGGGAGAATGGCGGCCCATTCAGAGACTACAGGGGTCAATCACGGCTTGCCTCTCCCTTGGGTGGAGTGGGGTCTGGCCCAGGAGGCCTCTGGCCTCTGTTAGGAGGAGGGCTAAAGGCGGGAGAAATAAGGCTCCCAACTCCAACTTCCACTTCCAGCTGGGGTCCGGGACCTGTTCCTTCCCTTGCCATCTTTAAATCTGCATGATATAGAAGGCAAGATCTCCAGCTGGAGCTAAGCATTCATGATGGCTCCCGCCTGTCATCCCAGCTACTCGGGAGGGAGGCTGAGATCTGAGGATCACAGTTTGAAGCCAGCCTGGGCAGGAAAGTCTGCGAGACTCTCATCTCCAATGAACCACCAGAAAAAAATCAGAAGGGGAGCTGTGGCTCAAAGTGGCAGAGCGCTAGCTCACCTTGAGCGAAAAAACTCAGGGAACAGAGTTCAAGCCCCAGTACTGACACACACACACACACACACACACACACACACACACACACACACACACACACACCCTAGGGAGTCCAGCAAAGAGGACAGTCAGCAGAGGGCTCAGAGCGCTAAGATGAGCTCCTGCAAGACTCCAGCGGCTGCCTGCCTGCCTGAGCCCGTCCTTCCTCTGCTGCCCCCCCTTCCTCCACCTTCTAATGAGACGTTCCCCCCCCAGCCCCAGCCACCTGCACAGACGCACCTTCTCCTCATCATTGTCTCTGAGGTAAGTTATCCTGTTCAGGACGCCCATGGTGAGCTGCTCCATCCAGCCATCATCGCTGATGGCCACCAGCGATTGACTGGAAAACTGAGGAAAAAAGAAGAAGAAGGGAGAAGGAATCCACTATGCAGGGGAGGGGGGAGGGGGAGGGAGGGGCTTTGTGGGGAGGGGGCTCCCAGCCCTGTGGAAATGGGGTAGGAAAGAAGTGAGAGACGGGGCAAGTGGGGAGCGGACGCGGGAGGGGCGGTGCTGACGGAGCTTCACAGAAGGGCCTGGCTGGGACTAGAGGAGGGCAGGACGCGGCTGGGGGAAGGCCCGCACCTGCAGCAGCCTCTGCTCCCAGGTCCCCTGATTCAGGCTCCCCTCGTCGTAATCTGCAAACCGAACCCTAACTCTAACCCTAGCCCTCCCCCCACCACCACCAAGAGATGATGAGCACCCCGCATCACCCCAAGGACTGGAACCTGGGCTGTGTGGGGCCCCCGCCCTCATCCACGACTCCACGGAGAGGACCCGGCCACCCGCCACCTGGGAAGATCGGGAGGCTGTGCGCGCCCTCCTCACCTCCTGCCCCTCAGGCCCCCATCTCTCTTGCCCTCCCCCCATTCCCCTCCTCCCCGCCCCCCTACCCCTGCCACACCTCCCCCTCACCATCCAGGGTCTGCAGCATCTCTGGGATCACCTTCTTCCACAGCTGGCCGATGCAGGAGTTGATAACAGGGTGCAGGGAGGTGATGGGGTGCAGGGCAGATAAGAGCTTCAGGGACCGCACCCCAAACTCCTTCTGCCTGTAGGGCCTCAGAGCAAACAGCTGAGGAAGGAGAGAAGGAAGGCAAGGGGTAAGGAGGGAAGGGACGGAGGGGGGAAGATTAGGAGACACTTCCGGGATGAGGAGGTGACACTGAGGCCTCCTCCTGCTCCTCCTGGTGCAGCTCTTGAACAGGACGCCTGAAATGTCCTCCATCAGAGCCGCCTGCGACATGCCTTCCCCGCCTCCCCCCACCCCCGGGGGCCAGTGAGGCCCAGTGAGGCCCCTGCTCTCTGAAGACCTCCCCGAGCCTTTGCCCTGCAGAACTATGGTGGTCCCGTCGGGTCCACGGTGTGCGCCTCATCCACACCAGAAACACCCAAAGCAGGGCTGCACCAGTCCCGACACAGCGATGGACAGAGACAGAAGCAGAGCATGCTGGACTAACGAGGCCCATGTGGCACTGGCTCCTTATCCAAGGTCAACAGAGAGAGGCTCTCCACAGGGCCAGACAGGAGGCAGGCCGGGCCTCTCCCCGCCCCAGGCTCCTGCCCTACCACTCAGTTTCCTCCTCCATGCTTTTGGCGTCTTGATTCTTGGCCTTACAGGGATATCCAACTGTTTGTGGAATGATTGGATGGGTGGATGTACAAGTGAGGGATAGTTGGGATAGGTGAGTGGGTGGATGGGTGGATGGATGGATGGGTGGGTGGGTAGGTCAATGGATGGATGGATGAGTGGATGGATGGATGGATAAATGGATAGATGGATGGATGGATGGGTGGATGGATGGATGGCTGGGTGGGTGGGTAGATGGATGGATGGATGGATGGATGAGTGGATGGAGGGAGGGAGGGAGGAAAGGGAGGGAGAGGGATTAGTGGGTGGGTGGTTGGATCGATGGATGAGTGGGTAGATGGATGGACGGACGGATGAATGGGGGGATGGACAGATGGGTAGATGGATGGGTGTGGGGGGGTGAATGGATGGATGGATGGATGGGTGGGTGGGTGGGTGGGTGGGTGGGTGGATGGATGGATGAGTGGATGGATAGATAGACGGATGAATGGATGGATGGGTGGATGAGTGAATAGATGGATGAGTGAATGGATGGATGGGTAGATGGATGGATGGGTGGGTGGATGGATAAGTGAATAAATGGATGGGTGGATGGGTGGGTGGGTGGGTGGATGGATGGATGGATGGAAGGACAGATGGTAATTGGATGGGTGGGTGGGTGAATGGATGGATGGCTGGATGGGTGGATGGATGGATAGATGGATGGATGGATGGATGGGTGGATGGGTGGATGGGTGGATGGATGGATGGATGGGTGGATGGATGGATGGGTGGCTGGCTGGATGGGTGGATGGGTGGATGGATGGATGGATGGGTGGCTGGATGGGTGGGTGGATGGATAGATGGATGGGTGGATGGGTGGGTGGGTGGGTGGATGGGTGGGTGGGTGGGTGGATGGATGGATGGATGGGTGGATGGGTGGATGGATAGATGGATGGATGGATGGGTGGGTGGATGGATGGATACATGGGTGGGCAGATAGGTGGACGGGCAGACAGATGCAGTATCACTTACCACGAGTTGGGTGAGGAGTGTTTGTGGGGAGATGATCAGGGCGGCTGGATTAAAGGGGACAAGGAGGGAACAGAGTCAGCTCACCTTCAGCTCTCCTTCACTACCCCAGACAAGAAGAAAAGGCAAGGTGGAAAGAGCAACTGTGTGCATGCTGGGGGCTGGGGCTTGAAAAGACAAACCCCAAGTCACATGCTGAGTGGACCCCTGGTCCTGGGGCCCATGGGAGGCCAGGGATGGAGGCCGGGCAGCGTGAAGAGCGAGGGGTCAGAACATCTCTGTAATAACCCACGCCCGGCGCCACTGTTTTAAATGAGAACCAGGCCCATGTGGCAGTGTGCGTCTGTAATCCCAGCAGTTGAGAGCTAGGGCAGGAGGGTCTTGAGTTCTAGGCCTCAGGCTTCCGGCACCCAGGGCCTTAGCTGGTACCTGACTACCCCCATGCTACACCCTGAACCCTCTCTTCCACACCCCTGCAGGGCCTCAGCGATGGGGTGGGGGGAGGGGGGCTCTCCGGCTGCCCCTGGCCCAGACACACCCCTTCCTGGCACTCACGGCTGCGGTGGAACTTGCTGAGGTATGGGAAGTGGCCCCGGGCCGAAGATTGCACGGCGATCTCGGTGGCTGCCTTACTCAGGATCAGGAAGGCCTTGAAGTTGGTGGGGTGACACACGAAGTTGACCAGTTTGGGCAAGGGCAGCTGGCAGGGGACATGGGGGGGGGACTTCAGTGACAAGGCCTCTTGGGTCCCCGGCCCAGTTCTCTAATCCCGAGACCTGGTGTTCCTTTAGAGCCCCATCAACCCAGCCTCCTCCCATTCCCTCTTATCCCCCCCCACTCTCCCCTCCTCCCATCCTCTCTCCCACTCTCTCTCTCTCTCTCCTGCTCTTTCTCTTTTTCTCCCTCTCTCCCTCCCTCACCCCAGATTAATAAAACACAAGCCACGATCCTCCTGAACTTATACTAAGGAGGACTCCCTCCGGCGGCCTCTTCCCTCTGGGCAGCCCGTGGATCCTTCCAGATTCCTGGGAAGGTTGTGGCGATCCCTGACCCACAGCCCATATCTGCTTCTCCACCACCCCCCCCCCGCCGCCCCCCCTCCCCGCCTTCATTCCAGGGACCCAGAGCAGCCCAGAGGACCACTTGCTCTTGATTTACAACTGGAAGCTGGCTCAGGCCCGCAGACCCCTCGCCCAGCGAGCTCCTCCCCTTCCCGGGAGCCCCTCTATGGGCCCAGCTAGAGGTGGGAGTGTGGGAGGGACAGGAGAAGACGGAGGGGAGGGACATGAGAAAGGAGGCAGACACAGGAGGCCCCCCCACTTTGGCCCTAGCTGCACTACCATCTTCAGGATCCTCAAGCACAATAGCTGCATGTCCTCTTCATGCTGTGGGGGAGAGAGGAGGGGAAATGAACCCCACCGCCCCGCACCCCCCTCTGAACCTCCCCCCCCCCAGCCAGGCCAGCTAGCTGAGTCTGACTCCAGCCTTCCCCAGCTCTCCCAGGTCAAGTGGGTGGGTTCTGAGGCCCCGCCCCCTGCCCCTGGACCACTCACAGAGAAGTCCCACTGGCTGAGCTTGATGATGTAGGAGATGATCACATTGCCCTGGGGTAGGCGCAGGTAGCCATACTCAGCCAGAATCTCCAGGAAGCCAAGCAGGGCCATCCGCACCTGTCACCCGTACAGCAGGTCAGGGGACAGGGACGGGGTGGGGGGGGTGGGGGGGTGGGGAGGGGTCCTCCTGTTCTAGGTGAGGACACAGAACCGAGCAGAACGGGGAGGTCACCCAGGACCTCGGCCCTCCCCACTCCAAGGTTCAGTGAGCCGTCTGTGGGACTTGCTTACAAGAGGCCAGGCAGCTACTACTGCCTGACCTGCAAGTTCCAACCCTTGTCAGCTCCCTCCATCCTCCTGGGGGGCAGGAAGTCCTTCGTGGGCTCGGAGAGATCAAAATGGCAGGAATCGCCATGGAGGGAACCGCTGAGTTGCAGAGACGCCTGCAGAATTGGGGGGAGGGGGAGAAGATTAGACCAGGAGCTCTAAGATCGAAACCCAAGGAACCAATCACCCAATCAATCCATGGGACGAGGGGCCAAATGGACACTTCTCAGAAGGAGGACAAGGGGCCGATAAATCCACCAACAAAGGAGTGGAAAGGACTCTGGGGTTCCATCTCGACGCGGGGCAGAATGGTGGCCCCTGGCCTCTCTTCCCCATCCTGGCCCCTCCCCACCCCCCACATCCATTCTCCACCCCGCTAACGCCTCCCACTCACCTGCCCGCACTCCTCCTGGATCACCACAATGACAGAGTTCATCACCTGCCTCTTGAGCAGCTCTGTCTGATTCACTAGGGAAAACAGGCAGGCAATTGGAGTGGGGTCCGCAGCCCCCAGGGGAAGAATCCTGGACACAGACCTTGCTTCCTTGGACAGGGTCCTCCAGCCCGAGCTGGGGGGCGGGGAGGGCATATCTGCCAGGGCCCCCGCCCCTCCCCCAGAGCTGGCCACACAGAGCTCAGCCGCCCCGCACCTCTCCACCTCACCCTTGACCTTGTCTCTGATGTGGCCTCCCTCTCCTGACCTCTGTGCTTTCCATCTCCTTCTGGCCTTTCCACTTGGTCTCTCAGGTAACACAGCTAACCCAACCAACCAACCAGCCAATCAATCGATCGGTCCATCGATCCATTGATCTCTCTCTCTCTCTCTCTGTATCCTGGCCAGTGTGCTAATAAGCACACAGCATAAGCTTAACACAAGCACTTGAGAGAGAGCACACTTAGAATCATAGGCAAACCACAGAACCACAGAACGCAGGGCCTCTTGCTTGCTTGGCTGGCGCTCTACCACTTGATCCGTGCAGCCAACAGTGCATATGTGTGTGTGTGTGTGTGAGAGAGAGAGAGAGAGAGAGGAAGTGTGTGTGTGTGTGTGTGTGTGTGTGTGTGTGTGTGTTGGGGATTGAATTCAGGGCCTCAAACCCACACTCTTGGCTTTTTTCACTCAAGGCTCTACCAGTTGAGCCGCACCTCTACTCTGGCTTATGATTTTTTTGTTTTTGTTTTGGCTAGTTGTGGAGCTTGATTGAACTCTGGGCCTGGGTGCTATCTCTGAGCTTCTTTTATTCAAGGCAAGCTCTCTACCACTTAAGCCACAGCGCCACTTCTGTCTTTTTGGTGGTTCATTGGAGATCAGAGTCTCACCGACTTTCCTGCCCAGGCTGGCTTTGAACCACAATCCTCAGATCTCAGCCTCCTGAGTAGCTAGGATGACAGGCGTGAGCCACCGGCACCGGGCTCACCTGGTTATTTTTGACATAGGGTCTATTATAACCTTTTCTGCCCAGGCTAGCTTTGAATTGCAACCCTCCAATCAGAGCCTCCGAGCAGCTAGGATTACAGACACGAGCCCCACAGACTCCTGGCTGTAACTGTTTTTAACTACTCTGCTGGACCGTCTCACAGGGGAAGAAAATTGAGGGAAGATGAGGTCCCAGGCCCCATTCCTGCTCACCTTCTCGAAACACCTTTTGGAAGACCTGAAGGGCACACAGGATCCGGGCTGGGTCTCTGGACGCCAAGGTCTTCAGGAGTAGAATCACCACCTGCTCGTTGTGCAGCTTGGCTGCCAAAAGGATGTGAACACAAAGGTCTGTGTGAACCAGGCGCTGGTGGCTCATGCCCTTCCTCCCAGCTACTCGGGAGACTGAGATCTTAAGATCATGGTTCAAAGCCAGCCCAGGCAGAAAAGTCCATGAGACTCTGATCTCCAATGAACCACCAGAAAACCAAAGGGGCGTTGTGGCTCAAGTGGTAGAGCACCAGCCTTGAGCAAAACAGCTCAGGGATGGTGTCCAGGCCCTGAGTTCAAGCCCCACAACTGACAAAAACAAAACAACAACAACAACAACAACAAAGGAATGGCAGGTGACAAGTAGGAATGAATTATGTCACAGAAAGACACTGACACCCCGGGAAGATAGAAATGGGGGTGTCGTCCACTGTGGAGGACAGGCATTCACAAAGCACACATGCTCTCCCTGAGCCAGGCCCTGTCCCCCACCCCCACCCGAAGGGCAGGAAGACCCAGTCCATCAGTGCTGGAATCACCTTGTCCCAGACCTGAGCTGGGGATCCCCGGGGAAGAAGGAAGGAGACGCTCAAATACATGTACACACGCATGCATACACACACATGCATGCATACACACCTGCATGCACACACGCATGCATGCATATACACACATGCATGCACACACACACACACATGCATACACACACACACAGCAGGCCAGGGTGGCTGTGGACTCACTCAGGTTGTAGAATCCTCTCATAGCAAGGCTGTGGTTCTCCACGGAAAGAGAATCCCTGCTGAGAACCTTTAAACTCACCTGGGGGGTTAACACCAAGGCCATCAGACCAGAGAAGAACCATACCCCAGGGTATGGGTGGGGAAACTGAGGCATGAGGCCAGGAAAAGGGTGCAGTGGTTGGCCAAATGGGTGAGAAGAACACAGAACCCAAGAATCACTGTTTCTGGACATCGAGAGAGGAAGACACGGGACAACAAATTAATTATAGAAAAGAAGTGCCCTGGGCTGGGCAGGTGGCTCAGTGGTAGAGCGCTCGCCTAGCATGCACGAAGCCCTGGGTTCAATCCCCAGGACCACATATACAGAAAAAGCCACAAGTGGCGCTGTGGCTCAAGTGGTAGAGCACTAGCATTGAGCAAAAGCTCAAGGACAGCACCCAGGCCCTGAGTTCAAGCCCTAGGATAAAAAACAAAAGAGGTGCCCTTTGCAAATGGCCTGCTGTTTTCCTTCCTGTTCAGGACTGTATCACAACACGGCCATTTGCCAGGCATCATGAGCAGTCTGAACTCACCCCTCCTCCCCAGAGGTTAGGAGAAGCAGCAGGATGCCCTTCTCCTTCCCTCCCCTCTCTCCTCTCTCTGGTGCCAATACTAGGCTTAAACTTAGGGCCTGGGCATTGTCCTTTAGCTTCTTGCTCCAGGCTGGCACTCTACCACGTGAGCTATACCCCAACTTCCGGCTTTTTGGGTGGCCAACTGGAGATTCCAATTGCATGGGACTTTCTGGCTGTGGCAGGTTCCGAACTGTGATCCTGGAATCTCAGCCTCCTGAGAGGCTAGGATGACAGCCGAACCACAGGTGCCTGGCTCAGGGTTTGTCACTCCAGGAGTCACAGAGGACTTGTTTATTTGCTGGTGGAGAGTTCCTCTTACTCTACCTGCTCCGAGAAGCCTGGTGTGTGTGTGCATGTGTATGTGTGTGTGTGTGTGTGTGTGTGTGTGTGTGTGTGCGCGCACACACGTGTGCCTGTGCATGCCTGTGTGACTAGGCACCTCCCCGGGGAAGCCATCGCCCGCAGAGGAGACACGCGGGGCCAGCCCAGGACACGCCCGGCCCCCACACACGCACCAGCTTGAACAGCATGTTCGTGATATTTTCCACCTGGGACTCCAGGTTGATGCCACCATAGCCGCTTTGCACCAGCGCATCCAAGAGCTGGCAGAGGCACTGTGGAGAGAGAGCAGAGTCAGGGCCAGGCCACCCGCCCCTCTTCCACCTGAGCAAACACGCTGTCCTCACACCTGCTCCTCACAGCTGAGTCTGAGCATCATCAAGTTCAATGTCTAGCCCTTCCTGTCCCAGCCGCAATGGTTCCTTTCTCCCCGCCCGCTCGATTTCACACCACCTTTATTCCACAGGGATTTTTTTTTTTTAGGGCAGTTCAACACTTCAAAGAAGCCAAATAAATTGATCATGACCCAAAGCCAGATGCCAGGAGGCCAAGATCTGAGGATCAAGGTTCAAAAGCCAGCCTGGGCAGAAAAGTCCATGAGACTCTTATCTCCAATGAACCATCAAAAAACTGGAAGTGACCCAGCAGCAGCGGCAGCAGCTTACACCTGTAATCCCAGCTACTCAGGAGGCTGAAATCTGAGGATGTGGCTAAAGTGATAGAGCGACAGCCTTGGGACAGCACCCAAGCCCCTGAGTTCAAGCCCTGGGGCACACAAAATCAATCTCTCTCTCTCCCTCCCCCCCCCCCCTCCTTCTTAGTTATTTCTCAGGTAGGATCTCAAGTAGGAAGGGTTCACTTTGGCCTGTGATTTCCTATGTTTCGGTCCACATTTCGCTGGCTCCATTGCTATGAGATATTTCTCAGGAATGCAAGGATGGTTTGACCCTATGGTGAAAGGGAGCATTATGGCAGCAGGAACATGTGGTAGAGCAAAGCACATCAGGTTATGGTAGCCAGGAAGCAGAAGGGGGGAGACAGAGAGACAGAGAAGGAGAGAGAAAAAGAAGAGAGACACAGAGACAGAGACAGAATGCACACAGACAAGATACATTATTCAATAACTGCCCCCCAGCAGGGCACCAGTGGCTCAAGCCTGTAATCCCAGCTACTCAGGAGGCTGAGATCTGAAGATTGCAGTTCAAAGCCAGCCTGGGTAGGAAAGTCTGTGAGATTCTTTTATCTCCAAGTAATCACAGAAAAAGCTGGAAGTGGTGCTGCAGCTCAAGTGGGTAGAGCGCTAGCCTTGAGCATAAGGGAGCTCAGGGACAGTGCCCAGGTCCAGAGTTTGAACCCTAAGGACAGCCTCCTCCAAAAAAGAAGGAAGGAAGGAAAAGGAACGAAGAAGGGAGAGTGGGTGGGAGGGAGGGAGGGAGGGAGGGAGGAAGAGAGGGAAGGCGGGAGGGAGGGCTGGCTTCTGACTGAATTTGGCCCATGGGCCATTTCCTGCCACCCGTGGCACTCATTCATTACTCTGTGAGCGGGTCACCCCCTCCCACCCCACCCCCACCCCCCTGCAGTCACCTGGGAGATGTAGAAAGGCTCTAGTTGGATGGATACCAGGGCCATCAGCCTGCGCACCAGCCAGTTCACCTGGCTCCTGAGTTTGGAAGGTGATATGAGGAAGAAGAGGTGGCCCACTATCACCAGCGCTTGCTCAGTGACCTGTGCCCAAGGAGACAGGATGTGAGAGCCGGGGCTCTGGGGAGAAGGCCCGACAAGCCCTCCGTGGTGGCTTGGCCTCAGTCAGCCCCTACAGTCCTAACGGGGAGAGCCACTCTCAGGGAGACAAGCCTCCATCCTTCAGCCATCACCCACCCGACCTCTCCTCACCTTCCCCCTGTTCTTGAGAAGCCAGCGGTTGAAGATGACTCGCAGGGTGAGGTAGGCTTTGATGTTCAGAGCTTCCGGGGAGATATCCATCGCTTCAGTGTCCTTGGGGCCCAGGTTCAGGTGCTTCTGGGCATTGATGGCCAGCCCGCTGAGCACTGGGGACCAGGTGGGACGGGGAGCGGCCTGTCATCCTTCCCCACCCTCCACATCCCCATGCAGATCCCCCCCCCAGCCCCGTGAAGGCGAGGGGCCCTACGTTGGGAAGCACTGATCCATTCACCCTCTCCCCTCGGCTTGCCTCCAAGCATCTGCTCGCACTCCCGCATCCCCAGCCCCGGGCGTCGGAGATGCTTCCCCTGGCTCCCCCTGGTCCCCGCGGAGCCTCACCCTGACACAGCGCCAGCCTGTCCTTCTCCTCCACTGCTACCCTCAGCAGAGGCAGCACGTGCTCCCACGTGACCCCGATGTAGGCGGCTGCTCCTAAGGGGAGAGGCAGGAAAGGCGCCCTCTGGCCTCTGACCTCTGGGTGCAGCGCCAGCTTTGAGGGACAAAGCTGAGGCCCAGCTCCGGGGCCCCAATTCAAGGCCCAGGGGCGGCACACACACATAAACACACACAAAGGGGGAGCCTGGTGACTTGATTTTTTTCTTTTTTTTTTGGTGGTCGTGGGGCTTGAACTCAGGGCCTACGAGCCATCACTGAGCTTCTTTATGCTCAAGGCTGGCGCTCTGCCACTTGAGCCACAGCACCACTTCTGGTTTTCTGGTGGTTCACTGGAGATCAGAGTCTCAAGGACTTTCCTCCCCTGTCTGGCCTCCAACCTTGATCCTCAGATCTCAGCCTCCTGAGATCGCTGGGATGACAGGCGGGAGCTTCCAGCGCCCAGCTTTGATTTTTCTTCATAATGGAGGAAGGTACGTAGATAAAGATAAAGAAGATAATTCTGTCCACAGAGCTACTGCTGGACACAGCCGTGGGTGGACATGGGATGGAGATTCGAGCCCCACCCAGCTGCCACACTAGAACTTTCCCAGCAAATTCCAAGCTGCCGTTTCTTCCCCTCTCACTGCCCACGGGGCTTTGGTTCTGCTTCTCACCCTTCTGGCTCCCGTCCGCTCTTCCTGTGCTCCCATCTTCTCTGCCTGCATCTTCCTTCTGGGCCCTTCCTCCTCCTGCATTCCCATCAGCCTCTAGGGCCTGGTCTGTCCCTGTCCTCTCCTCTCCTCAGTCCACCCTTTCCTCCCACCCCGCCCTCCTGACACTGAGGCCCTCCCCCGCGCATGGGGGACGGCCATTCATACCCGGGCTGAGGTTGAGTTTTCCCACTGCCACCAGGAGGCTCCTGGGAGGCAGGCTGCGCAGACGCGGTTTGTTCAGGAGCTTGATGATGACCACGCCGGGGTAATGGGAGCCCAGGGCCATGAGGACCATGGTGCTGACCTCCTCCAGCTCCTCTTCCAGCTTCTGGAAAAGAGAAGGACGGGCTGTCCAGGCCAGGATCTCTGGAGAGTCGGCTTTGGTCAGCAGGTGGTTCCAGCAGCTCACTAGGGCAGCCACCAACCCCAGCCATTGTAACCCCCGCCCCGTCCCAATCCACCCCCAGGGGATGGAGGGTACAAGGCTCTAGCCGCGGGGCGGGGGTCTGCGGTTCCAAAGCACTGAACTCTGCTGCAGCTCTAAGCAAAGCCTCAGAAGGAAGAACAGAGGTCGGGGACACAACTGCAGAAAGGAAGAGAGCTCATAGGTAGGACGTCAGTGGAATGATACACAGGTATGTGATAGAGCCAGGGACCAGGGCACTCCTGTCATCCCAGCCACTCATGAGGCTGAGGTCTGAGGATGGCGGTTTGAAGTAAGCTTGGGCGGGCCAATCTGAGAGACTCCCATCCCCAATTTAAGCCGCAAAAACAAAGCAAAAAAAAAAAATCCAAAGTGGAAGTGTGGCTCAAATGGGAGAGCACCAGCCCTGTACCAAAAAAAATCCAAGCATGAGCTCAAGGTCCTCAGTTCAAACCACAGTACACTGGCACCAAAAACAAAACCAAACTTGTGTTCCTTGGATTGGGAATGTGGCTCCGTGGTAGAGTGCCAGCCTAGCTAGCCTTCAGCAAAAGAAGCTCAGAGACGGTGCCCAGGCCCTGAGTTCAAGCCCCAAGACCAGAAGAAGAAAGAGAGAGAGAGAGAGAGAGAAACTCCAGGGTTTAGATCTAGCACCCCTCTTTCCCCTTGATCCCCCAGCCTGGGGAGCCGGCCCCCTCCTTCTCCCCCACCCCCAGGCAGCTCTCCCGCACCCCCACCCCCAGCCCAGAGAGGCAGATGCCCACCGTCATCCGCAGATAGTTGATGATGATGTCCGTCAGCTTCCGGCACAGCCCGGTGGACATCTTGTTGTTTGAGATCCTGACTGCCAGCAGCTTGAGGACCTCCAAGGCTTCTTCAGGTGACAGCTGTCGGAAGAGACAGATGCTCAGGGTGCACGCAAGGCTGAGAGGCAGAGGGGGCCATGAGAAAGGAGGCGGCCAACGGGCACCCTGGGCCAGGCTGGGGTGGCCCGGAAGTCCCTCCCCTTCTCCCAGCATAGCCCAGCCAGCTGGCCCAGGTGGCCCTGTCCTGGCCAGGGTCTACCTGGAAGGTGCTCACCTGGCCAGACACCTGGAGAGCCTCCATGATGTACTCTATGCTCCTCCCCAAGATGTCCCAGTCGGAGCTGTTCACCTCATACTCCATAGCCACAGTCATCTCTGTCGGCCACGAGCCGCCTCCTCCCTCTTCCCTGCCAGGTTTAAAAAAAAAAAAATGTGTGGGTTGGGAAGGTGGCTCAGTGGTAGAGCGCTCGCCTCGCATGCATGAAGCCCTGGGTTCGATTCCTCAGCACCACATAAGCAGAAAAAAGCCAGAAGTGGCACTGTGGCTCAAGGGGTCAAGCGCCAGCCTTGAGCTGAAGAGCTGAGGGACAGCGCCCAGGCCCTGAGTTCAGGTCCCACGACTGACCAAATAATCTTTAAAAAAAAAAAAAAAGTGTTTACAAATCAGAAAGCCAGGCACCGGTGGCTCCCGCCTGTCATCCCAGCTACTCAGAAGGCTGAGATCTGAGGATCAAAGTTCAAAGCCAGCCCGGACAGGAAAGTCCCCGAGACTCTTATCTCCAATGAACCACCAAAAAGCCGAAGTGCTAGAGCACTATCCTTGAGCACAAAAACTAAGAGACAGAGTCTGGGCCCTGAGTTCAAGCCCCAGGACCAGCACACACACACACACACACACACACACACACACACACACACACAGAGTACAAGTTTTAGGTGAAGGAACTCTGCACCCGGCCCGCCCTCACCAAGGCCCTGTCCCAGCCCATTCTCATGTCCAGACTCACTTCACTTCCTCGCCAAGCTCACCTCTCTGTAGTTACCCACACCAGTGGGCTGCAGCCATGCTAGACAGCACACAACTCTCCCCAGGAGCACAAATCTCCCCAGGAGCACAAGTCTCCCCAGGAGCACATCTCTCCAGGAGCAACGGGCAAGTATGGAAGAACAATCCAGACTGTTTGTTGTAGCAACCTCCTCTGGAATGCCTAGGCTAGGCCGGAACTAAGCCTGCTGCTCCTGTTCTAAGGAGCCTAACAACAGAATGATGCGGTCTCCTGCTAGAACCCAGCCTCATCCTAAATCTCCTGTGCAGCCTGTTGCCCGGCACAAGGGCCACGCAGGAATATCTGTAGAGAGAATGAATGTGCAAAAGAATTACTTTCAAAAAACAATGGGGCTTGGGAAGGTGACTCAATTTTAGAGTGCTCGCCTAGCATGCAGGCAGCTCTGGGTTCAATTCCTCAGCACCACATACACAAAAAAAAGCCGGAAATGGGCTGGGAAGATGGCTCAGTGGTAGAGCGCTTGCCTTGCATGCCTGAGGCCCTGGGTTCGATTCCTCAGCACCACATAAGCAAAAAGAAAAAAGCCGGAAGTGGCGCTGTGGCTCAAGTGGTAGAGCGCTAGCCTTGAGCTGAAGAGCTGAGGGACAGCGCCCAGGCCCAGAGTTCAGGCCCCACGACCGGACCCAAAAAGAAAAAAAAAAGCCGGAAGTGGCACTGTAGCACAAATGGTAGAATGCCAGCCTTGAGCAAAAAGAAGCTCACGGATAGTGCCCAGGCCCTGAGTTCATGCCCCAGGATTGGCAACAAATAAAAAATAAAAACACTTTTAGCAAGCTTCATTTAGGAAAATAAACCCAAAAAGCTTTAATCCATTCTTTCTTTCTTTCTTTCTTTCCTTTCTCTTTCTCTCTCCCTCTCTCTTTCTCTTTCTTTTTTTGCCAGTCCTAGGACTTGAACTCAGGGCCTGGACACTGTCCCTGAGCCTCTCTGTGCTCAATGTTAGTGCTCTACCACTTGAGCCACAGATCCATTTGAGGTTTTTTTCTGAGTATTTTATTGGAGATAAATGATCCTCATATCTCAACCTCCTAACTAGTACTATAGGCATGAGCCACCAGCACCCAGCCTTCTCCAATTCTTACGGCATTCGTTTTGCATCTCAGTTCTCAAAAATAATTTCCATTTTTCCAGTACCAGGACTTGAACTCGGGGCCTCCCCCTTGCTCAGCTTACTTGTTCAACTGGCCCTTTAGCACCTAAGCCACACCTCCAGCCTGGGTTTTTTGTTTTGTTTTGCTGGTTAATTACAGACAGAGTCTTTTTTTCTGGGGGGGGGGGGGGGTCGGGTCATGAGGCCTGAACTCTGGGCCTGGGCGCTGTCCCTCAGCTCTTCAGCTCAAGGCTAGCGCTCTACCACTTGAGCCACAGCGCCACTTCCAGCTTTTTTTCTTTTTGTTTATGTGGTGCTGAGGAATCGAACCCAGGGCCTCATGCAGGCAAGGCAAGCGCTCTACCCCTGAACCACCTTCCCGGCCCCCAGACAGAGTCTTATAGACTTTCCTACCTGGCTGGCTTTGAGCCATGTTCCTTGTATTTCAGCCTCCTGAGTAAGGAGTATTACAGGTATGAGCCACCAGTGTCCTACAATACACGGATCAAGGACCAGGATCCTATGGGCAGGAAGTAGGACCCTATCTCAGAAATACACACACACACACACACACACACACACACACAAAACTGGAGGTATTGCTCAAGCGTTAGAGGGCCACACAAGCAAATAAGCCAAGTGAGCTTGAGGTCTTGAGTTCAAAGTCCAGTGTCAGTAATATTACAAAAAAAAAAGGAAGAAAATAGATTGGGTTTGGCTTCTAATATCACAGGCTAGAATTTTTGAATCCTGCAGGAGATTTTCTCTAATGCAGATTCCACATTTGGGGGGCAGAAATGCAGAACGAGCGCCACAGCTCCCCCTAGAGGCCAGAGTCATAAACCGCTCTGCCCTGCTTCTAAGCTACCCATGAAAGTTTGCTTGAAATAAAGCATCTACAAAACCCAGCCATATCATCATGGCTGGAGGCGTTAACTCAAGTGGTAGAGCACGTGCCTGGCAAGCATGAGGTCTCGAGTTTAAACCATAAAAAAAACAAAAAAAACAAAAAAAACACAAAACCCCTAGTCACATACCAAGTGGTTGTAAACCTAGCCTAGAGGGGCTGGGAAGGTGGCTCAGTGGTAGAGTGTTCGCCTGGCATGCATGAAGCCCTGGGTTCGATTCCTCAGTACCACATACACAGAAAAAGCTGGAAGTGGTGCTGTGGCTCTAGTGGTAGAGTGCTTGCCTTGAGCAAAAGAAGCTCAGGGACAGCGCCCAGGCCCAGAGTTCAGACCCCACAACCGGACCCAAAAAAAAAAAAAAAAAAAAATCACAGTGCCACTAAAAAGAAAGAAAGAAAGCCATCAAGTGCACAAGAAAACACGGAACAGATTAGTGTAAATGTCAAAGGCACTCTTATCAGTAATAAAGAAATTTCCACAAATTCCTAGTAAAAGACAATGGAATTTTTTTTTTTCTAAATGGGCCAAAGACTTAAACACAAGAGCCTTCCAGGAAACAGCCCCAGCATCATAGCTATCAAGGAGATGCATCGCTTGATGTGCTCAAATTAAAAGTACTGGCTGTGTTTGGGCAAAAATGTGGAATAACTGGAACATCCTTACTGTATACCGTGACTTTGGGAAGTTGGCAGAATATTCCACAGAAAACCCGTGACCAAGAATGGTCCCTCACACCTGTAATCCCAGCAACTCAGGAGGTAGGAAGCAGGAGGATCTGAAGTTCCTCAGAGCAGTCTGGGTTATATAGTAAGACTCAGAAGAAAAAAATTATAAATTAAAAAAGTAAACCAGTTGGGAGCCAGTGGCTGATGCCTGACATTCTAACTACTCAGGACGTAGAGATCTGAGGATCACAGTTCAAAGCCAGCTGAGGCAGGAAAGCTGGAGAAACTCTTATCTTCAATGAACCACCAGAAAACCCGAAGCGGCACTCTAAGTGGTAGAGAGCTTGCCTTGAACAAAAGAGCTCAGGGACAGCGCCCAGGCCCTGAGTTCAAGCCTCATGACCAACAATAAGCAAGGCTAAAGGATACTGCCTAGGCCCTGAGTTCAAGTACCAGGTTCAGTACACACACATACATACACACACACAGGATGCTTTTACTGAGTCCTGTAAATGGAGGGAAGGCCCCCATACTTTTGTACCTGTGCTCTTTGATCTGTTTTAGTCCCTTATGCGATCATTTTAGGGTCCAAGAAAGTGAAAACCCCAGGAGGGCAAACTGCCCCTCAAAATGGCAAGGCCTACCTCTAATGGTCTGAAGGGAAACAGCCAAGAACTCAGGAGACACCCCCACCCTAGCAACTTCTGCTCCCTTCCAGTCATAAAATGCTAACAACTCCAGAACTCTTCAACCAGGCCACCCCTGTGAGGGCATGTGGGTCTTGAACTCTGGGCCTGGGCGCTGTCCCTCGGCTCTTCAGCTCAAGGCTGGCGCTCTACCACTTGAGCCACAGTGCCACTTCTGGTTTTCTGGTGGTTCAATGGAGATCAGAGTCTCATGGGCTTTCCTGCCCGGGCTGGCTTTGAACCGTGATCCTCAGATCGCAGCCTCCTGAGGAGCTGGGATGACAGGTGAGCCACCCGCGACCGGGCCCTGTGTGTATTTTAACTGCACCCCTTTCTCCCCGACTTCACCCCCAGGCCCAGGTCTGCAGCTGGAAAGATGGCTGGAGGTGCCCCCTCCAAAAGTGCTGTCTTCCTAGGGCTGCCAGGGACCAAGGAACCCTGCTCTGCCCTCTGTGGAGGGGTTGGCATGTAGGGGTGAGTGCACTCCGGGCCTGGTAGTGTTAGAAACCTGATTTCAGACGTGATTTCCTCTGCATCTTCCCCAGGGGAGGGGCTGCGAGGAACCCAGGGGTCCCCCGGCTCCCATCCTGGGCTGTTATTTTTTTTTGGGGGGGTGCTGCTCCTTTGGGTCCCCCGGCTCCCATCCTGGCCTGTTATTTTGGGGGGGGGTACTGCTCCTTTGGCGTCCCCCGGCTCCCATCCTGGCCTGTTATTTGGGGGGGAGGGTACTGCTCCTTTGGCGTCCCCCGGCTCCCATCCTGGCCTGTTATTTGGGGGGGGGGTGCTGCTCCTTTGGCGTCCCCTGCACTGTCGAACCCAGTCCTGTCATCCTGGAAAGTTGCAAAGTTCCTAGCGGGGCAGGGGACGCCAAGGCATCGCCCCCCCCCCCCCGCCCCCCGGCAGGCCCGGGGTCCCCGGGGCGCCGGTGTGCGCAGCCGCACGGGGGGGGGGGGGCAGCCGCAGGGGGGGAAAGACTTGTTTTTCTGTGGGGTTATTTTGTCTCTTACGTCCCTTGCAAACCGCCGTGCGGGCCCCGGGGCCTTTGCACCGGACCCGCGTCCGCCTTCGCCCCGGGGCCCGGTTCCCACCCCCACCCCCCCACCCCCCCGCCGGCCAGCCCCGGCTTCCCGCCAGCCATGCCTGGGGATCCAGAAGGATCTAGAAGAATCAGAGAGGAGCCGAGGCCCGGGCCGGGGGGGGGGGGGGGTGAGGGGAAGAGGGGGTGCCGGGATTTGGGGGCGCAGGCGGCCCGGGCGAGGCGGACGCTGTGGAGAACCAGGATTTCTTTCTTTCTTTTTTTTTTTCTTTCCTTCAGAGATCCGGAGCGCCGCCCCGGGGCGCAAAGAGCCCAAACCGGCTGAGCGGCCGCCGTCTCTAGAAAGTTCTCCCCCTCCGCCCCCCCCCCCGGCGTCCCGCCCTCCCCGCGGCGCGGACCAATCGCGGCCGCGCTGTGGCGCGCCCCGCCCCCGCGGCCCCGCCCTTCGCCCCGCCCCTCCCCGCGGCGGGGGCCAATCGCGGCCGCGCCCGGCGCGCGCCCCGCCCGCCGCGCCCGCCCCGCCCGCCCCGCGCGCCGCCCGCCCGCCGGCGCGGGCCGCAGAGCTGCGCCAACCCCGGAGCGCGCGGGCCGCCGCGGCCGCCCGCAGCCCTCGGCCCCCCCCCCGGCCCCGACCGCGTCCTCCCGCCGGGCTCCCCCCCGGCTCCCGCAGCCCACGGCGCCCCCGGCGAGCGGCCATGACCGCCGAGGAGATGAAGGCGGCGGACGGCGGGGCGCGGGCGGCGCCGCCGGCCCCCGAGGGGGTGGACATCAGCCCCAAGCAGGACGGGGGCGTGCTGAAGGTGAGGCCGGGCGCGGGGCCCCGCACCCCGCCACCCCCGGCGGCCCCCGGAGCGGCGCGCGCGGGCCCCGCGGGGCCCCGGTGCCGGCGAGGTCACCGGCCGCGCCCCCGCCCCGCCGCGGAGCATGCCGGGACCTGTAGTCCCCGCTCCTCTCCCGAGGTGGGGGTCGGGGTGCGAGGCCTGCGGGCCGGGGCGCCGGCTGACCCGAGGCCCGGCGTGCGCTCCGCCCATTGTTCTTGCTGGCGCCCGGCCCGGCCCACGTGTGCGGGGGGGAGCCGGGCACGCGGGGACCCCGGGACCCCCACTCGTGTGAGAGGGTGGGGGCCGGGCACGCGGAGACCCCGAGATCTCCATGTGTGTGAGGGGGTGGGGGCCGGGCACCTGGGGACCCCGGGACCCCCACGTGTGCGGGAGGGGGGAGCCGGGCACGCGGGGACCCCGAAACCCCCACGTGTGTGAGGGGAGCCGGGCACGCGGGGACCCCGGGACCCCCACGTGTGCGGGGGGGGGAGCCGGGCACGCGGGGATCCCGGGACCCCCACGTGTGTGAGAGGGTGGGGGCCGGGCACGCGGGGACCCCGAGATCTCCATGTGTGTGAGGGGGTGGGGGCCGGGCACCTGGGGACCCCGGGACCCCCATGTATGAGGGGGGTAGGGGCCGGACAAGTGGGGACCCCGGGACCCCCACGTGTGTGAGGGGTTAGGGGCCGGGCACCAGGGGACCTCGAGACCACCACGTGTGTGGGGGCCCGGCACGTGGGAACCCCGGGACCCCCGACCATCTGGACCTTTTAGAAAAGGTGCCGGCTTTGCCTGCATGGTCGTCCCAGGAGCACGTGGGTGCGCCCTCTTTGCGAGGTGCTCCTGGGAAGAGTAGGTCCCCCTGTTACCCCTCACCCTGGCCTGCACACTTACCACCCACTTGCATGCGCAGGGGATGCAGAGAAGCTTGGGGGGAGTCCCTGGGAAATCGCTGCGGTCCTGCCATTCGGGAAGACAGCGGCGCCCCTCCCCATACCCCCCCCCCCCAAAAAAAGGCAGCTACATCCTGGGGGGGCCGTGCAGGTCCATGTTTCTGCCCCCCTCCATCCAGCAGACCCTGCCTGGGCCCAACACTGGTATTTGGGGGGAATGAGGAAACATGGTGTAAAGATTTCCCCTTTTGCTGCTGAGGAAAACTTAGATGGAATTCCGTCTCCGGGCTTGGCCTGGTCTTCCCCCAAGCTGTTCAGCCACAAATAAGTCTTCCATGAGGTGCAGAGCTGACTCTCGGCAGAGCTTCTAGTGTCCTGAACCCTTCACCTGCTTGCAAGGAGGTGTGGTGGGGGCTGAACCCCTTTGCTCCTTTCCCCTTCCTCAACAGGTCATCAAGAGAGAGGGGACGGGCACAGACACGCCCATGATTGGCGACCACGTCTTCGTCCACTACACTGGATGGCTGCTGGATGGCACGAAGTTTGACTCTAGCCTGGACCGCAAGGACAAATTTTCCTTTGACCTGGGCAAAGGTAGGCATGGCTGGGAGTGGCTAGGAGGCGGGCCTTGGAGAACTTCCTGCCCACCTTCCTTGTGGGAGCTTCTCATCCCAGCCAACCTGCAAGGCGGAGGCAGGCCCAGGAGTTCACAAGAAATCCGGGCGACACAGTGAGACACAGTGAGACCGTCTCCCCAGAAAAGAGGATCCATAGTGATCGGGGAGTGGCTGGTGGCAGTCCATGGCGCATTCTGTGACTTGTGTTCCTCTCTGGTCCTACACTTCCTTTCCCAGGCAGGTTGGCCTGCTTAATGTTGGTTCTGGGACTTGAACTTGGGCTCTTGTACTCCACTTTTCTGCTCACTGCTGGTGCTCTACTTGAACCAGACCTCTCTTGACAGCTTCTTGCTAGCTGGGGACAGTCTATTGGATTTGTCTGCTGGCTTTGGGCTGTGATCTTCAGGTCTCAGCCTCCTGTGTAGCTGGGATTGCAGGCAGAGCCACCGGTGTCAGGTAACAGTCTTTAAGACCCCTGCTCAGGGAGACCTGTCTGTCTTTCTGCAGGGGAAGTCATCAAGGCCTGGGACATTGCCGTGGCAACCATGAAGGTGGGGGAGGTGTGCCACATCACCTGCAAGCCAGAGTATGCCTATGGCTCAGCCGGCAGCCCTCCCAAGATCCCTCCCAACGCCACGCTCCTGTTTGAGGTGAGTGTCCGGCCAGAGCGCGGGCAAGGGGCCAGTCCTTATCTCAGCCCGGGGCCTGGCTGCCCTCCAGCCCTTCCTGCCTCTTGCAGACAATGTAGCCAAGGCGGAGGGCCTGGCCTGAGGAGGGAGATGGAGAGGGCGCGGGCTCTGCAGCCCCCACAGGGGCCCGTGATGGTGGCCCGAGGGTGGAAGAGGGGTCCAAAGCCTTCCAAGATTCAGCATGGGGCACAAAACATCAGTGGGCCTCATGCCTGTAACCCTAGCTACTCACGAGGCTGGAATCTGAGGGCAGAGGTTCAAAAGCAGCCAGAGCGGAAAAGTCCGTGAGAGTCTCCTCTCCATGGAACCCGCAAAAGGCTGGAAGTAAGAGCTGTGGCTTAAGTAATGCAGTACCAGCCTTGAGCTGAAAAACTAAGACACAGTGCCCAGGCCCTGGGTTCGAGCCCCAGGACTGACACGCGAGCACATGTGCTTGCGGCTGGGCTCCAGGGGTCAGAGGTGCCCCCTTCCCTCCCCCCTCCCATGGGTCCCGGTTAAGAGGAGAGAGCCAGCTGCTGAGTGCGTGCCCGGCGGAGGTGAGCACAAGCCAAGCAGTGGGAAGCTCTGTGGCCCCAGAGATCCCGGGTCATTTGTGTCATCTGCCACGTTTAAGGGGAGCCGGGACAGCAGCGGGGTGGTTCTGAGCGTCCGGCCTCTGTCCCCAGGAAGGCAGGGCAGCTCAGGTTGTGGAGTCTTGGCTAGGTGTCAGGGTCGCAGGTCCTAAGACCGTCCCCAGGGACCTGGATGTGCCTGGCCTCTGCCTGGGCTGGCGGCCCTGCACAGAGCTGGTTGTCCCGTCTCACTCCCCAGGTGGAGCTGTTTGACTTCAAGGGAGAGGACCTGTCGGAAGATGAGGATGGCGGCATCATCCGCAGGATCCGGGTCCGGGGTGAAGGCTATGCCAGGCCCAATGAGGGCGCCATTGTGGAGGGTGAGGGTCGGGGTCTGAGCCCCTCTTCCGCAGCGGCTTCCCTCGGGGCTGGGCCGCGCCCTGGGCATGGTGGTTGGTGTGGGAGGGAACGTGGTGGGTGCCGGCCTCTCACCGGCCTTCCTCCCCCTCCCCCAGTGGCGCTGGAAGGCTTCTATGAGCACCGTCTGTTTGACCAGCGGGAGCTCCGCTTCGAGATCGGGGAGGGGGAGAGCCTGGACCTGCCCTGCGGCCTGGAGAGGGCCATCCAGCGCATGGAGAAGGGGGAGCACTGCGTTGTGTACCTCAAGCCCAGGTGAGCTATGGGCGGGCGCTGGGTGGAGCCGTGTCTACGGCTAGGGGCCTGGGGGCCTGGCATTGGGCCCTGATGGGTCGCTGTCCCTTCTTTGCTGACTCAGATTCCAGGAAACTTTTCTTACTCGTTTTATTTTTATTGGCTGTTGGTTGTGTGCCAGTGCAGGGGTTAGAACTCAGGCCCTGGGTGCTCTACCACTAGCAGTTTTCTTTCGTGGTTTCTTGGAGATAGAGTTGAAAGCAGGGCATCTGAGGATCGTGGTTCAAAACCAGCCCAGGGAAGGAAAGTGCATGAGACTCTTACCTCCGATGAACCACCAGAAAACCAGAAGTGGCGCTGTGGCTCAAAGTGGTAGAGCGCTCTTGAGTTAGAGCTCAGGGACAGCACTCAAGGCCTGAGTTCAAACCCCAGGACTGGGGTGCGGGGCGGGTCATGGGCTTTCCTGCCCAGACCGATTTCAGCTCAGGATCCTCAGATCTCAGCCTCCTGAGTAGCTAGGTGTGAGCCGCTGGCGCCCAGCTTGACGCCCAGCATTCCCTTCTCGCCCTGCAGTTGGCAGGAGGGTTCTGTGTGGTCAGGGAGGCTGTGGCGCATCCTGGGGCCATCGAGAGGGTACGGGCGTCAGGGGAGGCTTTGCGGAACCGCAAGTGTTTGGTCCCGCCTCCGGGGATGCAGGCAGGAAGCCCTGTCGCCTGGAGCAGGTCGGGCTGTGGGGTGACCTGCACCTTCGGTGGTGTTGCTCCTCTAGCTACGGTTTCGGCAATGCTGGGAAGGAAAAGTTCCAGATCCCACCGCAGGCTGAGCTCATTTACGAACTCCATCTTAAGAGTTTTGAGAAGGTGAGTCTCTGGGCTCTCCCTTTGCCTGGAGCCGGGTCCCATCCACTGGGGACCCTGAGGGCGCTGACCGCTGTGTCCCTCCCTGGGGGAATGGCAGGCCAAGGAGTCCTGGGAGATGAGCTCCGAGGAGAAGCTGGAGCAGAGCGCCATTGCCAAGGAGCGCGGCGCGGTGTACTTCAAGGTGAGCACCCGTCCTTGTCCCCCAGGGGGCCGTCTGGGGCCTGGGGCCGGAGCTGGGCCCTGAGCCCGAGCTCGCCTCCCGTGCTAGGACGGCAAGTACAAGCAGGCGCTGCTGCAGTACAAGAAGATCGTGTCCTGGCTGGAGCACGAGTCGAGCTTCTCCGGTGAGGAGCTGCAAAAGGCCTCGGCCCTGCGGCTGGCCGCCCACCTCAACCTGGCCATGTGTCACCTGAAGCTGCAGGCCTTCTCGGCCGCCGTCGAGAACTGCGACAAGGTGGGCATGGACCCAGGCTGGGGGGGGAGGGGGCCTGTTTGCCTGGTGTGGGGGACCAGGTCCTTTGTATATAGGGCCAGTGTTCTCCCACCACCAGCTGGTTGCTGGTTTGTGGAAATGAGTCTCGTGGAACGTTCCTGCCTGCCTGCATGGGCTTCCCACATGGAGCCCACATCTCAGCCTCCTGAGTAGCTAGGAGCCACTGGTGCCCATCAATGATTTTCTTCGTAGATCTGGAGTCTTTCCCGGGTGGGGCCCAGTCTTGCTCTTACTCGGTGGTGACCCTGTGTCTGCTGGCCCTGCTGAGCAGCCACTGGGCTCCAGCTTCATGGGGCGGGCTGCCCAGCCTGAGGTCTTGCCGGTCTCTTCCTCTGCCCGCCCAGGCCCTAGAGCTGGACAGCAAAAACGAGAAAGGTCTCTTCCGTCGAGGGGAGGCACACTTGGCTGTCAATGACTTTGAACTGGCACGGGCTGACTTCCAGAAGGTTCTGCAGTTCTACCCCAACAACAAGGCTGCCAGGACCCAGCTGGCCGTGTGCCAGCAGCGGGTCCGCAAGCAGCTGGCACGGGAGAAGAGGCTCTACGCCAACATGTTCGAGAGGCTGGCGGAGGAGGAGCGCAAGGTGAGCATGCCAGCGCCCGGCCGGCGTGACCCAGGAGCCGCAGTCCTGGGGCTGCAGGTGGTGTGCATGCCCAAAAATAGGTTTGCATGGTCCAAATGCACCAAGGCCACATGGAGGTGGAGGCTTGTGGCCTTGCCGGTGCTGTGTGGCTGTCCAGCCTGGGCAATCCCCCTTAGTGTTTTCACTCAAGGCTGGTGCTCTACCACTTGAGCCACAGCTTCACTTCTGGCTTTTTGCTGGCTAGTTAGAGATAAGAGTTTTGGGCTTTCTGGGCTGGCTTTGACTTACAGTCCTCAGCTCTCAGCCTCCTGCGTGGCTAGGATGACAGGTGTGGAATCTGTCTGTGCAGTGCTGTTGGAAGTGATGTGTGCTTTGTACCTTTCTGCCACCCTTTGCCACCCTTTGCAGGGCAAGGCCGAGGTGGCTTCAGGGGACCACCCCACCGACACAGCGATGAAGGAGAAGAGCGATGGCCAGTCCCAAATGGAGACCGAGGCGTAGCCCTGCCCCGCCCCACCCCTTCTGAACACACTGAAGAGTTTTGCGTGAATTGAGACCTTTATTTTTCTATCTGGTGGGTGGTGGCTCTGGGGGGACGGGGGAAGGCTGGGGGTCGCTCAGGTGGGTCCTGTCACCCCTCATTGCAGGTGAGCGTGTGTCCTGCGCTCACACTGCTCAGAATGCTAATTTATTCTGCTTCCTGTTTGGTCCACGTGTGAGCGGGGAGAAGGGGTGAGGTGTGATGTGCAGCAGGGTGGGGAGGGGGAGCCCTGGGCTCTGGCGTGCCGGGTTGTGCCCCTCCCCTCTTCCCCTGGAGTGGCTGTCTTCTGGAGCTGGGGTGACTGCCCGTCCCCATTCCTGTCCCCATTCCTGTCTCCCCTCCTGTCCGCCTGCCCTCAGCCAGGCTGTGTACCCCTCCCCCCGGGCCTCTGCTCGCTGCCAAAGGCCCAGGTGCCACTCGAGCCCTGTGCTCGAGCAATAAAGACGATAAGCAAAACTGGGTGTCTACAGCCTTCCTGGGACTGTGGGGGGCGAGGCTGGTGGACGCATGGGGGGGGAGGTAGGCGAAGGGTCTCTGTCCTGGTGCTCTGTCCTGGGGACAGGAAACAGCCCTGCTCTGACCTTTGACCTCAGCCGAGGAGTCCAGGCAGCATGGGCGGCCATGCCCAGCACCTCCACACAGCCCTCTCCTCCTCCGCCCCCCCAGAGCGGATCTGCCAGGCAGGGGCTGGATGGCCATACCTCCCGGCTATAAAGGGGGGTCCCCTGGAGCCAGCCGCTCCCCGGCCCCACACGTCCCCTCCCTGGACTGCCAGGCTGGTCCTGCACTTGCAGGTGGGGTGGCTCCTCAGACTCCAGCTAAAATTAAGGTGGTTAAGCACCCAGAGTCCAAGCCTTCTGCACCAAGAGCCTCAGCAAGCTCGATCTTGTAACAACCAACCAGCCTGCAGACGGCAGACAGACTCAGGTCAGGCGGGAAGGGCTGCCTGACAGATCTCAGCTAACCCAGTCTGCGTCTGTCACCGGGCCAGTCTCCATCCCCTTTCCTTGTGCAAAAACACAGCTAAGATCCCATCCAGGTGTTGGTGGGATCCCAGGATCCCACAGCACTGCTGTGGGAGGCAGGAGATGGAAAGGGCCTTACTCAGATTTATCTTGGGACAATGGTTAAGTCTTCAAAGACTAAAAATCCTGCCACACTGCGAACTCTACCCTGGGCCCCTGCTGTTTTCCTGCAGATAAATCCTTTATGCAAAGGAATGGATGGCACTCAGTGCTGTACAGAAACAACAGAAGATCTAGCAAGTTCTCCCCTGAGTATAAGCTATCTCCCGTACTACACAGCTGCTTCTGGGTAGCTTGTGGTGCTCTCTCCCTCTCTCTTTCTCTCTCTCTCTCTCTCACACACACACACACACACACACGCTCCTGTTAAGAGCCTACTCCATTCCATAATCCAAAAGCAGCCCCTCCACTTGACACCCCTTCATCCCGCACAGCTACAGCGCCCTGCCCTGTGCAAACATGAGCTGGGTGCTGTGCGTCCCATTTCCAAGTAAGAAGCACTCAGGGCTGCTAAGTGCTTTCGAGAGATTGTTGGGAAATGGTTTGTGGTGGAACTCCTAGCTGTACCTTTCTCTCAAGATCGGTTTTCCCTTTTGCAAATGCGGAGCATCTCAACCTCGTGCCTGCTACGGGTAGGTGAGGGCTGTGCTGATTTCACAGTGGTAGACTCGGCTGGGTATGGCAGTGCACACCTTAAACCCAAGTGTAGGTGTCTAGGATGCACAAGACCAGGTCACAGTGGTTAGTTCCCAGCTGGGGTTCTAAGCCCCTGTCCACCCTGCCCTTAGTGGCCGGGAGAGCTACCCATCCACCAGGTCCCTTTGAGAAACAGGTTTTTGCACTTTGAACTAGGGGATATATATGGTTATAAAGGTCTCAAAAAAGGGCTTAGTGGTAGAGTGCTTGTGTAGCATGCATGCATTTCTGGGGTTGATTCTTCAGCACCACATACACAGAAACAGCCAGATGTGGCGCTGTGGCTCAAGTGGTAAAGCTGGCCTGGAGCAAAAGCAGCTGCAGGACAGCACCCAGGCCCTGAGTTCAAATCCCAGGACTGGCACCAAAAATGAAGTAAAAGGCTCAAAAATAACTCCCCCCACCCTCTGGCAATCGGAGTTTTGAAGGTCCTGGACAAGACAACTAGGGTAGAACCACCCGATCTGCTGTGGAGGAAGAAGTGGTCAGGAACTTTTGGGAACACTGCCCTCGGAACCCCTCAGCCCCTCTTGCCTTGCTGAATATGCCATCCACACGGCAAGCAAGCAGCCAAAGCGGTGGCTAATTCCTGTAATCCCTGCACTCACAGGCCGCAGTGGGAGAATTCAGGACAAAGAACAGGGATGCTCAATTGTGGGTTCTGGGATCTGCCCCTCCAGCCCCGCTGTTCCCCCTGCGTGAACCCAGGTGCCCGGCTTAGAGAGGCATGGCAGGGGCACAGATGTAGCCTTCACACAGGCACCGTTCCTGGAAGACCTTTCTGCCCTGGCTGGCTCTTACTTGGCTCTCCTGACAAGTTTGTGGTCAAAGCGACATGACCTTCACGATGAACATTATCTACAAAGACAGACGCTGCTCTGCCAGAGGATGCAAGACAAAGCCAGAATGATGGGCAAAGTCAAACGAAGGCGCTGTGGAATGCTGGGCCAGCATCTGACCTGGAAGAACTGGGTCAGGCCAGGGTGTCTGGTGACCCAAGCAGGCTGCTCATCCAACTATCCTGACAACTTATTAACACGTTCATTCCTACAATGCTGTCAAAGAAAACAGCAGACGAATATTACAGCACAGGGAATCAACTGGAAACCACTTAGGCTCTATGTTTCCAGGTAAACATTTTAAAATAGATTTCTTTGTCCACTCCTTCAACTGGAAAGCGAAGCTTACAGTTAAGAGCCCGGATGCCAGCAAGGAGGTGCTCGGGAGGCTGAGATCTGAGGATCACGGTTTGAAGCCAGCCGGGCAGGAAAGTCCCCAGGAGACTCTTATCTCCCATACCGGAAATGGAGCTGTGGCTCAAAGTGGGAGAGCATTGAGGTGAAGAACTCAGGGACGGTGCCCAGGCCCTGAGTTCAAGTCACATGATCAACAACAACAACAAAATTAAAAGATAATGCACTTAGAGCCCGGTTACCTGTGTCTGGAAAGATCCAGCCAGCCCTACGGTACAGCACTGAAAATAGGAACTGGTAACCATTTCTCCCACTGCCTTCAGACACAGAGATCAGGCCCACCCCTTGTCCACTCTCCCATTACCTATGACTGACAGACCAAGGGTCCAATCAGGTGGGGTTGTAATGACAAGTCTTAAAACCTAAATACCTGTTGAACTCCCACAGGAGTTCTTAGGTAAACCCTCTCAGTGCTGTCACTGATGAGGTGCCCAAGCGGAGGCAGGTCTTTCTCAACAGACAAAGAATCTCAAGGCAGCCATGAGGATAATGATCCCATCCATGCTACTGAGAGAGGGGCGGAGAGGTTCAAGACAGCAGGCTCCAAAATCTTTACCATCTTCCCTTTCAGCCTAAGGAGCTGGGGCAGTACGTGATGGGAGAGTCATGGGAGTTTGGGGATCAAACCACTTTGGGTAGGGAGCCAGTAGCTCCCACCTGTAAGCCAAGCAGCTCGGCGAGTAGGCTGAGATCTGAGGGCTGTGGTTCAAAGCCAGCCCAGAAAGAATTCCGTGACTCTTTAGCTCCAGCTAACCAGCAAAAAGCCGGAAGACCTGTGGCGGACCACCAGCGCTGGCCAAAAATCCAAGGGATGGTGCCTTAGCCCCTGAACTCAGGGGCTAGGACCCCTGTCCCCCCCATACACACACACACGCACACACACACACACCTTTGGCCTGAGTCCCACCTGCAAACCCTGGCTGGAAGTGTGTTTTCCCCCTTGGAAGAGGTAGAAGAGCCGTTAAGTGAAGAAGAAACGACAGGGGCCGTGTGCTAGCTTGGTGAACTCTGCTTTGCGCCGGTGACCTTTGAACTATGCCCCCCCAAGGGCACACAGGGGTCAGATTTCCTATTGACGGATTTACTTTATCATCACACGCACACACGCACGCACATGCACACACGCGCATGCGCACACACGCACATACACGCACATGCGCACGCACACACGCACATGCACACGCACACACGCACATGCACACGCACACACACGCACATGCACCCACACGCACGCACACGCGCGCGCGGCCCCTTCGTCTGTCTCCACCGGATTTTTTCCCCAGTGCAATCCGATGTCACCACTCCGACCATCTCCCGCCATATGGTCGTCCGTCCTCACCACTCTCAGGGGACGGAATGACAGCGAGGGATCTCTGTCGCCAGGGCAACGAAGGAAGGAATCAAGGTCACTAGGGCCAGCCCCACGGAGCCCCGTTGCCTAGGGGACAGGTCAGCCCCCGCCCCCTCCCCGGCTTACCGGCGGGCGTTAGGCTTCTGGAAGAAGTGAGTGGCCTGTTCAACTGTCACTCAAAGGCCGTGCCGGGAGGCGGGGCCAGGGCGCCTCCCCGACGCGGAAGTCCCGCCCCTTCCGAGCCGGGATTGGAGGCGGCGCTGCAGCTTCCGCCCGCACGGCTGTCAGGAAACGGCTTGGGGAGTGGGGGGCGGGGGTGGGGGTCGTGCTTGGCGCCGCTCCCCGGCCCCGCGGCCATGCGGTCGGTGAGCTACGTGCAGCGCGTGGCGCTGGAGTTCAGCGGGAGCCTCTTCCCTCACGCCGTCTGCCTCGGAGACGTCGATAACGACGGGGTGAGTGCATGCGCAGTGGCACGAGAGACGCCCGGCTGGGCGCGGCGCGGGGGCGGAAGGGGTGGGGCCGGAGGCCGGAAGTCGGGGCGAGAGCCGGAGCATGCGCATTAGGGCCGTAATGGCGCCCGCAGGACGCCTGCTCTCTGGACGGCCTCGTCGTCCGCGGTGTCCACGCCGGCTCAGCCCATCCGGAACGCCGGGCGTTTTTCTTTTTGTTTTCAGGGCTAGATCATTGATCCCTGCCTGCCGTTCGCGGGCGGGGTGGGGCTGGTCGGTTCCGTTGGCCACGATTGGAGGAGACGTCCGGTTTAGCCTGGCTACGAACCTCAGTTTACCTTTCAGACCTCCGTTTCACAAAACCAGCTGGAAACAGTAAAACCGCCCTGCCTGCTGATTGCTCCGCTCCCCCGGGGACGTCTCTGGGCCTTTGCTGCTTTCCCATTGGCTCACTGACCTGAGATGGACGGATGGATGGACGGATGGATGGATGGATGGACGGACGGATGGATGGATGGATGGATGGATGGATGGATGGATGGACGGACGGATGGATGGATGGATGGATGGACGGATGGATGGACGGACAGATGGACGGACGGACCGACGGACGGACGGACGGACCGACGGACGGGTGGATGGAGGACGGATGGATGGATGGACGGATGGACGGACGGACGGACGGA